GAGCAGAGATGTAACAGCTCCTGCACTAGCATTAATGCAGGGCTACAATGAGCTGGGCACAACCTGATTCCAGCAGCAAGCCACAGGACACCAGGGATCTAAAAAATTAAATGTGTGTGATTGTACAAATGTGAGTATGTGTGAGTATGTTTATAAAATTGTGTGTGAATATGTGGGTTTACGCATATAAATTTGTATGTGAATATTCATGTGTATATGAATATGTGCGCATAAGAATGTTTGTGTGTGTGTGTGTGTGCATGTGTCTGTATAAATGTTAGTGTATGTTTATGAATGTGAGTGTATATAAATTTGAGAGCTTGCTTGTAACATATTGCACAAGGGTGTTAGACAACAAAACACAAAATCTTACAACTGGAGTGTGGGGGTGGGCTTGCTCAGCACAAATACAATGCCCAGTAATATCCAGATGGGTGGACATTTAATGAACATTCACAGCTGCCACATAAAATCTGGGCACTAATAAATACTGTGAATAGTGTTTGGATTTTTGCCTCCAAATGCTCTGTAATATAGACATATACTTCATTGCAAAAAAACAATTATAAAGCATGACGTTTTTGAGCTTAAATCATGGTGATCCTTAGGTAATTGAATAATAAATTGTGAAACTCAATTCAAATTTAATTTGCCAGTGAATCAACTCCCGATTAGTTGCGGACCCTGTGACTTTTGGAAACTGTAACATACACATCCCAAATTCAGCCCTAAGTTCCCAAATAAATGTGAGGTGATCATTTGACAATTGTCAGTGAATATATATGCTGGTATTTGATCTTAGATATATATATATTTAGTATTAGGCTTGTGCAAAGTGAGAAAATTTGGCTTGGCCGTATAATTTATTCCAAAAATATAAATTATTTTGGGCACCTGAACTTTGGACAGATGTTGACTTTGTCGAATTTTGGTACCTAAAAACTGATTTGGGAACCGAGTCAGTCAAACTAAGAAGTCTTAAAAATGGGCCAATCAGTGCACTGCAATATAATATTATGCATGTATTTTACAGTACACTGGTAGGAGCATTTTCCCTCCATTTGGTTCACAGATCAACTGAGAATAAGTAACCAATACTGCTTCTCTTTTTTCCCTCTTTTAGTCACTTCCTATTTGGATAAAATCAACATTTTGTAAATATCCACTAGCCATCAATCATCTATTTTTCCCATCTGAGACGAAAATCCCTTTGCCACTGGGGTTTGGAGGGGACTACTTGCCAGCATTTTACCCTGTGATTATGGCCCCTTTAATTTATTATGGTTAAAAACCCTATTTGTACCTATTATGACTTTGGACAATAATTCAACGTGTGTTTTTCTGCCTGGAGATAACAGAGTTACATACTGGACTTGACTCAATTATCTCCCAGGCTGAGGGGAGGGATTGTGTGTAATGTGTGGGAGTGTCACCTACTGTTCTGCATTATCATTGGCTTGCAGCAATTGTCATCCTGTTCCCCACAAGGTCCAGGTGGGTGTTCCCTTGCATGGGGACTTGCATATAAGGCCAGCTGTGGCACCATTAAAAGTGAGTCCTGCTTAACCCCCAACACGTAGCTTGGTCTCGTGATTGGAGGAGAACTGCTATATCACTAACTCTTATAAGAGCTATACACGGTCCTGGATGTCAGAGGTTGGTCCAGGGTGGGAGGAAGACGGTGAGATCCCAGCTAAGCTACAGCGGAAGTGGAGTCTGCGGTGCTTGTGATGTTTGGTGCGGTGCTTATGGTCCTCAGAGTCACCTAGGAAACATCTTTTGGTGGAGGTCCCCAGTTGGGGTGCCAGGTCATCCGTCACACCATCAATCCTTTTTTTTTGGTACCATGGTGGAATTCAGAAGCAGACATAGTTGGCCATTGTGTGTTTTGGCTCACAGTTTGAGAATTTGATATGTCACAAACGCATCCTACTCCAAGAGTGTGCGTGACTTAGTTCTAGAGGTGAAATGGTTAAAGTTCACCATTTGTCTGCACACTAGACCGGAAATAATGATAAAAATCCCCCTTAATACAACCCACACTTAACCATAATATAAGTATTACTATTTTAATGCTGCCACCACCAAGACAATTTATAAATGGGGTGCCTTGGTCCTCCAGGTAACTTGATAAAAACCCACCAAGTACAATTTAGCACAATATCTATACAATTGCAAAACACTAATTAGTCTCTTCAGGTAACATGATTCTTTACCAGACAAAGGCAGAACTTAATAAAGGAATATTTATGAACAAAATAGTCACAGTGCATATAAAATTATAGATGATAATCAAATAAATTACACCAACATATAAAAACAAAAAGGATAAAATTACAAGTCCTAATTACTTACTCACTTAAGTTTTAAAAGTAAAACTTCTGCCCAGGGGGTCTCTGGCAAGGAAAGATAGTGACTCACTCAAAATTAGATTTTGGCCCTAGGCAAGTACAATACAAATCTACATGTCATTCGATATCCACCCTCTGGATTAATCTCAAGTTTCCAAGCCTGGCCCAGAGGTGAAGATAAGGTGTAAACAATAAGTAACCACCCCCTTGTGTTCCAGACCAACATCAATCCAAATATAAACGTTTGGTTTTATCTCCTCTTTGGTGCTTGCTACAGAAATAATAATTTGTCAGAAATATCAATGTGTTACCATTTTTCCATTCCATAGATGTCACACTTCTTACTTGTGGCCTAATATAGCAGACAACACAATCTCTTCCATGCAGCTTAAGTCCATGTAACCATGTCTAGAAGAGTGTGCATGTGTCATGATCTTGTGCAGGTCAGATAGGAGGCTTTGGCCAGAGTTCACAAAAGGCTTTATTTGCAGGTTTTAACATATCCGCAGGTTAACCTTTAGAATGAAATATGGAGAAGGGAAGTGAGAGAAATAAACGTTAAGGCAATATGTCCTATAAAGATAATAAAAAGGTTTGCAAATAATAAGAAAGCTGCAGATAACAGTATCGGAAGAACAACGAGACAGGTATAAAGAAAAAGGTTTCAGGGTAGAAAAATAGCGCCTTGTAAATAAGAGTAAGCAGTAATGTCCAGATAGGAGTTATGCAGGTTTGTATAAATCAGGAAGGCAGGATAAAGCAGAGTTGTAGGCAATCCAGGTGGGTATGGAGCAGGGTTGGAAGTAATCCAGGTTGGCAGGATAAAGCAGAGTTGTAGGCAATCCAGGTGGGTATGGAGCAGGGTTGGAAGTAATCCAGGTTGGCAGGATAAAGCAGAATTGCAAGTAATCCAGGTTGGGTTGGAGCAGGGTTGGAAGTGAAACAGGTTGAAAGCAATGAAGGCAAGTCACAGGTTGCTTCTCAGGAGCCAGGATCTGAAGTCTTTCAGTAAGAACATCAACTTCAATGTAAAGGCCGCTGGTATTCTCGGGTGTGGCCTTTTGTATGATCAGTAATTAGTCCTAGGCAGGTGAGGACTGAGGTGACTAGTGGCTAGGGAGGCCCCTAGTGGTGGAGAGCTGGAACTTGATTTTAAGGAACAGAAATAAATTAACATAGAACTTCTCTGTAAGGATAGGATCCTGACAGCATGTCCCATCCTAAATATACACAAAAAGAGGCATAATTATTAATCTGCGGGTAATTATTCATGTTTCTTTTGGATATGATACTGATATGACACTGGGGCACAAGGGTCCTTTGATATGCCAATTAACTGGCCATATGGTGGAAGTCAGTTAGTTACATTAAAACTAGATGTACAGGCAGCTCAAGTGTAGAATGTCACACCTTTTAATCAAAGGAGCAATTCATGTGGTAAACCATCTGACCTTTTACATTCCTATATATTTTGCATTAACCCTTTCTGACATTTGTCCTCTACCAAGTGCATGTATGCAGTACACAAGTTACATTAAATAGTAATATTCTATAGTGCAACAATAAATTATGTAGGATATTTACAGCTGTTGTCTCAAAGCATACGCTGTATTTTCGACCAGTTATTGAAGATGTTATGGGACAATGTATGGGATACTGCAGCACATTTGCTGCCAAACATTGTTTGTATAACTCTGTGATTTTTTCATATGAATCATTCAAAAATATGTAGGCTTGTGAGAGAACATATTATTTATCAATAATGTTGCAAATTATATGGCTATGACTAAATAGAGAATTTAAAAAAAAGCCTGCTATTTATATATATATTATTTTATTTAAATATTTTCTGATGCCAGGCCAAAATGTAAAAGGACACTAAAGGCACCCAGACCACTTCAGCTCATTGAAGTGGTCTGGATACAGGGTCCCTATTGCACTTAGTGCTGCAATGTTAAACCTTGAAGAGCCAGAAAAACTGCAATGTTTACAATGCAGCACTAAGGCAGCCTCTAGTTGCTGTCTAGTCTACCAAACAGCCACTAGAGGCGTTTTCTGGATGTTAACGGACTTTTGGTCCGGTAACCTCATGCAGGGCGTGAGGACATCTAGCGTCAGCTATTTCGCCATAGGGAAACATTGATTCAATGCTTTCCTAAGAGGATGCCTAATGCACACGCGGCACTTGAACGCCGATGGACTTCAGAGGAGGCAGAGCTGCGACACAGCTCCAAGGGACTTTGGCGCTGGGATCAGGTAAGTAAATAAAGAGTTTTAACCCTTTATTCACAGCAGTGGGAGGGGGAAGCAGCACAAGGAAGGGGGGAGACAGAGGTAGCTATAGTGCCAGGAATACAGCTATGTATTCCTGACACTATAGTTTCCCTTTAATTTAGGAAATAGTATTTGCAATTCTATAATGTTGAAATGGCGCTCAGTAGTACATTCCTTCCAGTGATTCTCTTGAAGAAAATTACTATATAAAATGTACTAAATATTAATGAACAAATAATTATTTTTGTTTTATGTTTTTTTTTTTCACAGGAGGGCTACGTAAAAAAAAAAAAAGAACTCTTTAAAAGCCAAACAAGCTGTAAAAGAGATCAAAACAAGCCTATGTTGTGATAGCCAAATATAATTCCATTACGTATGGCTGGCCTTTCAGACTTGGTTGACGGTTATTCTTTCTGCACACCATTAGAACCTAACAATGAAATTGAGGAATTAGCGATATTGCATATAGACGAAGAAAATGCACGTAATTCAAAAGATGATGCACTGCTAGATAATATTTTTGAATTAAGGGAGCAAAATGAGTTTAAAATGGCCCAAGAAGAAAACTGCTTAGTTCTGAATGAAGAAACCATTGCAAAAGAACATTCCACGCCAGCAATACAGCAAACAGAATCGCGGGGATTCATTGATTTAAAATCCAACATAATTAAAAATTCCTATAAAAATGGGGACTTGAAAATTCCTAATAACCTAAAAGGCATATTCACCTGCCACACAAGCTCAGTAGAACACGATTACTGTTTGTGGAACAAGTCAAAATATTGCTGCTGCAGTACGGAGACAAACAGGGATGCTAGACTGACTTTAGAAGATGAACCTTTTGACGATTGTCTCAACTATTTGGAATGTTCAGATGTAATGACGGATTATACCAATGAGGTTTGGCAGCATGCTCTGCTAGTTGATGATCCACTATTTTTACTGGAAAATTACCAGGCTGATGAGATAAATGAGACAAAAGTAAGCCAGGATTGCCTAAATGGGTGTGATCTATTCCACTGTGGTGTGTCTTGTGTGAAGGAAGTGTCAGATGACACACTGCCAATGGAAGTATTTACTGGCCTCCCTGACAGTCACTCACAATCATCAGAAGAAGCTGTAAAAAAAGATCTCTCCAGGGACTGTCTGAAAGCTTTTCAACCAGAGATGGTAATTACTGTGGAACACAAACAGGATGAAATGCCCAGAGTTAAAAGTAAAGAGAGGTGTAAACTAGCCTTGGCTGCAGCAGCAATTCAAAATGACCAGGCCGGGATTGAAGAGGAGAACAAGGAAAATAGCAGAAGAGGAGATGGATCTACTTCTAGTAAAGCGAGCAATATCAATGCCTTTAATAAACTGTTTCCAACTAATGGAATAGATCAAAAAGATTTAAACTTAAGGACGGATGAGTCGATAGAAAATCCTCCAATCCATGTGTGTTCACAAGACATTCGAGAAAGTGGAGTACCCATTTCACAAGATGATAAACCAGCCCTTCTTGATGAGGAAGCTCGTGGAGTAAGGACAGATCAGTGTCAGAAGGACAGGTTAAATAATACCCACAACAAACTCAGTAATGTAAACTCAGAAATTAAAGGTTTCATAGAGGCGGGAGCACCGGAATGTCCAGAACAGATGGATACAAAGTATAAATGCGCAATGGAATGTGAAGGAAAAATCTGCAAAGAAAACAAGGATTTCTCTGGAAATACAACACTTACAGTAAGATCATATTTTTAATCAGTTAACCCCGTAATAATGTATTATTGTGAAAGAGTGTTCAATAGAAAAAAATAATAATTCTTAAAAAACAGTCTGGGCACTAATGAGTGACAGTTACTGCTGTGAAGGAATAACAGTTTTTTTTAAAAGTCTAATAAATAGAAATGGCTACTAATTATAGAAAAAAAGACTATTATAGCCTTGAGACCCTAACGGGGCTTAGGACAGCTGTATACAGAAATGTGATCTATACATGTACAGATATTGCTGCACATAGACATTTAACTCTAACAGATGAATGAAATGAAACAAAACACTTCAATGCTGGCTCTTGTTTAAAGGAACACACACTAGTTAGACAGCTTTTCTGTATTGTGTTAAAATGTAGTCTGACAAAATCTAAAGCAGAAGATGAAAGCACATATTGGAAAAGCTTCCCAGTTTTGCCTCAAGTTGGACAAAACATTTAATCGTGACACTAAAATGGCAATGAGAATTCTACTTGGATTAGCAACCTGCTACGCAACATGATAACTGCTCTACCTTTGGATATTCTGTTTTTCCAAAGCAAATTATGTAAACATTGTTTAACGGACATTGGAGGCGATTAAAAGAGGCAAAACAGGTTTTATTTTGGGCGAAAGTGCTAAATTACCTTTTATTGGTTTCCATGGTGATCACTCCTAATTTAGTTCTTTTCCCCAGTATACCACCTGTTTTTGCCTTGATAAATTTAGTCCATTGTTTTGGTAGTTTTACTGTAAGTAAAGAGACATAGTGACATTTCCAAAAGCTTTGTAGATGAGACCTTTACAACTCTACAGCTGTCCTTGCATAGGATTCATTCACCATACCAAGAATTGCTAAAAACTTTAAAGGGAATTGCAAACTCAAGACGAAAAAAGCCAAGCAGTAGAATATTTCCAGCTTGGTGATGTTTTGCCATTTAGCTATCAGTTGTCCATAATTCCTGGTACACTACCTATTAGTTTCTCCAGTCAGCAGTAAGACACTTCCAAACTGGAAAAAAATGTCATGTGAGATGTATTTTCCACCACGTCGTCTTCCATAAATCAGTGATTACAGTGCAACTGGCAGGCTAGGAAGGTATTCACAGTGACAAGATCAAGATTGGTGAACAGTAAGTCAACACATTTCAACTGATCCACGATTTTCCTATGTTAAAATATAAACACTTATATTAGCCCACCCAGCAAATACACGTGCATGCACACCCAACCATATGATCATTACATAATGACAATCAGCTGTCCTTCTATTTATACATGTATTTACAAATTATGCTTATAGTAATCCATACCTCCCAAGTGTCACTATTCAGGAGAGACAGCCCCTACCGTGAGCCCAAATCCCTCTGACCCAAATCCCTCTTTTGTACCCAAATGTCCTTTTTTCTAGCAGCTCCATATTGTTGGTGTGTCTGAGTGTATAACAGAGCTCCACAGCAATAATACTCTTAGTAATGTGTCTTTAAACTACAATAAAAGTGTATAGAAATCGGACTGTGCAAAAAAAAAAATCCTTACTCTAATTACATTTTAGTTGCATGAATCATTACTAATAAGTTACCTAAAATGTCTCAGAACAGCCCCATCCCTGGCCACACCCCCACTCACACCACTAAAATGAATGTGTCCCTCTCTATGTCCGCCATTTTAATTGTTGGGGGAAATACGTTAAGCCAACATATTACACATTTTATTTATTTAGAAAGTAAAGTTTGCACGGTTTTTCCCTCTTTGCAAATTTCCAGTGTACTGTTAACCAATCTATTATATATGAGGAAACAGATTAGAGGAACGACATGTAGTAAGAATACACAATTAATTATTTAAATTAATTCTACTTAACATACACATGAAAAATTATTTGAAACAATATTCAAACAAATTGGGATTTATCCTTTGCGTATACCTCTGTAATGTATTTTCCTACATGGTATTAAACATAAAAATCAAGGTCATTTGTACCAAATCGTTGTTATTATTATTATAATTATTATTATCATTTTTATTAAATGCATTTGCTGACAATTATGTATTTCATATTTTGTCTAGGACAGACACACAAACATGTACGCAATGTGTATTTGATATTCTATTTGACATACATACTAAGACATCACATATAAACCCCAAGATTTAATTTAGCTGATACAGAAATAAAGCTAATCTTGATTTTACAAGAACAAGCCCCTCATGTTGCTATAATAAATGTATACCAATATTCAGTCCATCCTGTACACCCATGGATTTATTATTATTATTATTATTATTGCCATTTATATAGCGCCAACAGATTCCGTAGTGCTTTACAATATTATGAGAGGGGGGATTTAACTATAAATAGGACAATTACAAAAACTTACAGGAAAGATAGGTTGGAGAGGACCTGCTCAAACAAGATTACATTCTACCCAGAACACACATAAAGATGTGGATTAATTCCACCCAATACATGTTGTACATGTTCGAACAAAATCTGTCTTTTCACAGCTTTACTGTAAGGGAACATGGTGACATTTTCGAAAGCTTTGAAGCTGAGGCATTTAACTGTACAGCTGTCCTCATATACTATTTACTTACTATTCTATCCTCCTGTGTACATATGTACAAATCAATATTAATTGCACCCTATCATTGAGGCATGGAAGCTTCCAGATTATGATAAAATGTCTAAATTGTTATCCTTAGTCTTAATAAATAAGTATTTATTTAAATTTTAGTTCTGTTAAGTAAGCAAACGTTTGAAGGGGTTAATGGGAAAACTGCTTAATTGAGAATGTATTCTTTGGTGGTTAACCAGTTATGTATAAAGGACAGACAATGATGCCCTGACACACCCAATGCAGCAGGAATAGAGGGGCACAGCTTTGTGCATTGGTAGGGAGATCAATAAATCTCCACCACCAGCCCTTAGCTACCTCATTGCTTCAAAAAGAGGCCATTGAGAGGATGCAAATCAATGTAAATGCTCCTTTGTGGTACTGGGACCGGAAAGACCAATTACAAGGATCTGCACCCATTAGTGGTGCATACCAAAAATTTCTCCCTCAGAGTCACCAGGGACAGAACCCCACTGGACCACCAGGAAGTGGAACTGTGATCAGAACCCCTCCAGATCTCCAGGGCCGCGCAATAATCATGGGCTGAGGCTGACAGGCGAGATCAGAGGAACTCCCCTGCCAGCCCATGCAGAGCCGCCACTTGCCAGCGATATCGAAGTACAGACCTTGCTGGGTGCCTTAAAGGGCTAGTGGGGGGATCAACAATTCCCCTCAGTGGCCCATCTGGCACTTTACTACAGTTTGTTTGGTTTGAGTTTTTTTAATAATAAGAATAATCTAACCATTTTGCTCCCAGTCCCATTTCACCAACGCCCCAAACACACACAATATAGGCCATATACCACCTAGCACAGTTACACACACTGGACCCCTCACACACTGCACCTTTCACACACACTGCACCCCTATACACACACACACTACACCCCTACACACACACTGGACCCCTACACACACTGGACCCCTACACACACTTGATCCCTACACACTGCACCCCTGTGCACGCACTACATCTCTCACACACTGCACCCCTCACACACACTGTACCCTTCACGCGCTACACCTCTACACTTATGAGATTCCATATAGACAGTCATTCCTTACATACACACCGCATCACCCACACACACTAGATCCCCTATACACACTAGATCTTCTATAGACACACACTACATTTCAGTCATACACACTATGTCCCCTAAATACACTGTGCTTCTTCAATGCCTGCACTAGATCCCCTATACACAAACACAGACAACTAAAGACACTCTCTCTACAGCCCATACACACACTGTATTAACCTACACACACACACACACACTGCAGCCCCAATGCACATACTCACTGCATTCCCTATATACACACACTACAGTACCTATACACACACACTCCCTACAGCCGCTAGCTACACACACTATAGGCACTAGCCCACATATTACACCACAAACAGAAGACATTGAGAGCATTTGATTGGCGCAGAGCAACGTTTTGCTGCGCATGCACATTAGCCTTCAAATGTTTCAAAGCATTACATTGTCTGGGTTTATCGAGACTGATGATCTCAGCCAGTGAAGCAGGGCACCAGCAAACTGACATGTTAAACCTCTGCAAGTGGGCATCAACACCTACATAGGTAGGAGAACACTCTAGCTTTAGAAATACATGTTTACATTTCTTAATCTATAGTGTTCCTTTAATATGCAGTTTGTCATGTTGTAGGTACTACGATAATGTATTATTCCATGTGCTTTTTCTCATTTTTTATAATGGTTAATGCTAAGTGGTGATCTATAAAGTTCTAGCGTGTGGAGATCAAAGGCAGGTTTTAAGGCTGTAAACCTGTTGCTAATTTCTTCCAGCTATTATTAACAACTGCTTATGGCAGATATTTAGTGACAAGATTAGACATGAGCCCCAAATTGTTATCAGTTGACAGTCTACTTACAAACTGTAGACCACATTTTTAAGAGATCAAAATCTCAATAAAAGTCTCTATCATACCATAGAATAGAGGTGAGATTGGAAATATTTTCTTCCAACTGAGATATCACACCCACACATTTGCAAGTGAATTGCAAGCTTACCACCAGAAACCAATGTTTACAAAATATAAACCCATTTAAATATCTGTTTAATCATTATACCTACTCAGAGTTTAAAGGAATACGCTAGTGCTATTAAAAAAGATGCTGCCAAGGAGATGCTCTGGTAATTTCTCGCATGGATTACTGTAATTCTCTCCTAGTTGGTCTCCGCAGAAATTGAACAGCTCTGCTTCAATCTGTTAAGAATGTTGCATCCAGGCAGATCTTTCTCACCCATCGTTCCTCCCATACCTCGCCCCTCTTTCGATCCTTACACTGGCTTCTTGTATCCTGTAGGTGTCAATTCAAAATACTAACCCTTACCTATAAAGCTTTAAACATCTCTAGCCCCTGTAACATTTTTCACTATTTCATAGATATGCCCCTTATCAGTCTCTCCGCTCTGCCGGTGACCTTCTCCTGTCCGTTGCTTGCACCCTTACTGCTAACTCGCGCTTGCAGGACTTCTCGCAGGCGGCTCCCTTCCTTTGGAACAGCTTGCCTAACCCCATCAGACTGTCCCCTAGTCTTCAATTGTTTAAGAAGTCCCTCAAAACACATCTGTTCAGAAATGCTTATAGACTCCCAGAGTAACTTATCTATACTTATCCATATTGCTCTCCTAAAGAAACATACTCCACTCTCTCACCTCCAGTTCTGCTACTTTTCACCTTGTTTGGTGGCTGTCACCCTTGCTGCCCTGTTGTGTTTTTGTACCCTACCACCTCTAGACTGTAAACTTGTTTGAGTAGGGCTCTTATCTACCTATTGTTCCTGTGTTACTGTGTAATTGTCTCATTTATTGTAACTTTCCCCCCTTTCATAATATTGTAAAGCGCTGCAGAATTAGTTGGCACTATATAAATACCAGTATAATAATAATAATGTATTCCAAATGCTACAGTGTTGATATAGTCATTTAGATTATTGAACCCCCTCAGAAGTAAGTCAATACATAGTTTTACTTACCTATTTTACCAGGTGTGCTGGTCTTGTCACAGTCTCCCCGCTGGCTCAGATCATCGATACTAATGATCACAGCCAATCCAATACTTCCCCATAGAGAAGCATTGGGAGATGTGTGCGCATGAGTGGAAATCGCAGCGCCAATCAGCATATCTTCATGAAGATGGATTGAGTCAGTTCATCTCTATAGGGAGTGTACAGCATCTCAATGCAGAGCGTTAAAAATACTGAATGTTGGTCCTTCAATCTTTGCATGACTGCAGCCAGGAAGTCCATGTGACAGCCACTAGAGGTGGCCTAACACCACAATGTAAACACTGCCTTTTCTTAGAAACTACTAAGTCTGAATGTGTAGAACATTAAACTGTAGTGGTTCTGATTCCTAGAGTGTCTCTTTAATCATTAATAAATACATTTAGTACTATTTTACATATATCTCTTACTTTATATCTATATCTTGTTCCCAGGAAATAGTTCGTCCAATGCCTGATGGCTTTTGCTGCAAAAGTATTGACCAATTTATTGAACCTCGCCAAAGTCAAGAGAAGGGAATTTGTACAAACACAAAGAAAATTGAACAGATAAGTATTCTGGAGGATGAAAATAAACAAAAATCAGATAACTCATCTTCAACATTTAGTGAGTCTGATAAAGAAAAAGGAGACATAATAAGCTGTTTAACAGAGATGGCTCAATCAAAAAATGATAATTCAGCCAAATTAATGTTCGTTTGTCCTGCACATAAAATGAAGAATAAGAAAAAACATAACTGTCTAAAAAATGCTGAAGACACTTTTGGCAAAAACAAAGAGCATGAAGGTTTTCATAAGAATTCCATGGATCTATTTCCAACTGCTGGAAAGGGTAAAACACATGAAACCATAGAAAATATTTCATGCGCTACAACTCTTCTTGGTAACAAATGTCCTGAGGGGAAAGTTACGAGGTCTGAGAAACCTAAGGAAAGTGTGGACTGCAGACTTGTGGAATTACGAAAAATACTCAACACAGGTCCAGTGGATAAAACAAGCACACTTGACAATGGTTGTGGTCAAGTAATACCAGATAACTCAGTGGATCCGACAGAGATACCTACAAAACTTCATGTCCTAACAGATAATGTTATATGTTTAGCAACTGATGAACACGCTGATTGTTTGGACCTCGATAGTGGAAGTGTGCTTGTTGATAGAACTATTAATACATCACAATGTAAAAACAATAGAAAAGAAACACATTTATCAAAAACTGATTTACATGCCAAAAAGAAACCAAGAAACTCTTCCTCATGGAATAACAGCTGCATTTTAAATAGAGAAGCTGATCATGTAAATGGCAACAAAATCTTAAAAAGTAATCCAAACCATAGTCCTAAAACCCAGCTGAACAACCGTTTTGAGCAAAGAGAATTTTTTAGCCCCAAGGAGTTAAATGCCAAGGCATCAGTAAGTGGTTCCCTTGCTAGTAATTCTGCGGGAGTTGACGGTACCTGTTCACCAAATACAAAGGATTATATTCGGAGTGCTCCGGAGTTCATACTTGTTTGCAAAGTTTCTGATACAGTTAGTGGAACAGGAGACCTTTCTAACGATCCACAATATTCAACAAATGTGGCAACCGTGACAGATAACAAAATATCAACACATGGTACAGAAAATAAAGTGGCCAAGAAAAAGTTAAAAGCTCAGGAAAAAGGGCTATCCAAAAATTCAAAATGTATTGAAAGGCAGTCGTCACTGGTGGTTACTGAGTTATTGCCAGGAGGTGAAGAACAAAGAGACAAAAAAGAGAGTGCTACAGTATCTATAAAAGACAATAAAAAAGGTAAGAGCTCATTAATATTAATATATTTTACATACTATGCATTGAAACATGTTGTAGCAATATACAATGTGCAAACAATGCCTACATGTAATCAGTGACAAACATATATAGGTATGTGGAAAAATAGGTGACAAGGCCCTGCTCAAATGAAGTTACAATCTAAAGAAAGTGTGGGGGTGTTTATGCACAGTGTGCAATGTACCCAGAAAGTAAGATAAATTATCAGATGTATAATTCATATTTAATCCTATATCACTTGTTTTATGTTGGCAGTGAAATGATATCCAGAAGGATGTGTGTAGTGATGCAAGGATATACTGCTGACCAAAATACCAAGTCTTCCCCAATCAATATAGAATCAAAATATGCCAATGCCCTTATTGCAACTGTTGCCCCCATTATATTTGTAGCAAGATAGAAAGGGTCCAGGTATATATACCTATAACTTATGTCATGCTCATGACCAGGGCCGGATTAACATAGGGGCTCATGGAGCTGCAGCTCCAGGCCCATGCCTATGGAATAGGCCCACTGATAAAAAAAAATATATATATATATATATATAAAAATAAAAAATATATATGTATAAATATATTTTACACTACACTTCACATGCTCTTGCTTAAAACTTAGGAGCGATGTAGGGGAACACAATAAGTGTGGGTTGGCTGACAATTAAATTAGTTATGGTAAAGCTGACTTTGCGCACTATGTGAATGCTCTTGCTGCTTCAGTCTCTCTAACACTGTGGCATGTTCCCTTTTCTTCTACAATCACTACATACAATCTGCCTGCTAGTTAGGAGAGTAGTGGACCAGCGAGGGCTCGGCGACAGTCCTTAGAAAGAGCTAGCATTAGACACATTAATGCTAAGCTCAGGGTGCTGTCTGCACAGTATGCCCTTGGTTAGTCATCCTGCATGATTGGCAGGCAGCATGACGTACATTCACACCAGGCTGACCATCTAATTCTTCGTGCATCCTTTTTGGGCATGTTTGTCCCTTTGGGTGGTTCTGGTTACATGACAGTGGCCCACCCTTTTAACCCAGCCACTGAAATCCTGCTTCCTTGGACACTGCTTTTAGGAGTAATGGATTTACTTGAAAGATAAAAGTGAGAGATTAGCATGGGGTGTATGTTTTCAGAGAGCAGCATCCTGTGAGCTTCCCTCCAGCACCACCTCCACCAGATACATGACGCTTGGGAGGTATAACTGTTTTAATGTTTTCTGTCGATAACATTCTGTAACTAGGCCCATCATAATTGTCAGCACCAGGCCCAATGGGCTCTTAATCCGGCCCTGCTCATGACATCCTTAATGTCCCTAATTACCTCTCCATCCAGTAGAGGTGCAGGATGTATAAGTTGGGACATTAAGAAAAGACTCACTGGTGTCATAGATGTAAGCGCTCCTTGTTTTCTTTCCAAGGTCAGATTTACATGTTAGGTGCCTGTAGGCACAGAATTCTAAGGTGGCCCACTCCCCCCACCAAAATTAGGCAGTTAACGTGAATTAGAAGTAAATTTAATACATTTAACTGGACATTCCAGACACAACATTTTTTTAAAAGAACACTACAGACCCCTAAAGCACTTTACCTTACTGAAAAGCTTTATGTGTGACGAGTGCAGATTTCAACAAAAATTGACACTTTCAAAATTATACTAGTTATACACCAATGGCTTCAAGAAGACAACAGGTCCTGTTACTTCCTGGTGTTGATAGCTTATTTGCACTGAACTCAAGAGGCAGCAATTGGCCAGAGCACCTGCCTTGCAAAGACATCTCATTAACAGCATTGGGAAGTCTATGATTGGACAGCCTCAGAAAGTCTAAGCATGGTTAGGAGAGAAGGGCTTGGAAAGGCAGCAGACAAGAGAACTGCAGCTTTTGCAAGCTTTTTTTTAATTATATCCCCAATAAAAAAATGCATAATTAAATCTTGGTGGACATGTATACTAAACAGTAACTTTTATTTATTTTGTGTTTGGGCAGTGGAGTGTCCCTTAAAAAATCATATATTGGTATTTGATAACAGTATTTGTATATGCATGTGTGTGTGTATTTATTTTACTTTTAATGCATTGTGTTTGAATCTGTGCATATAACAAGTGTTTCTAAGTGTGTAAAGATAATGTTGGAGGTCGTTAGGGTAAAGGTGAGTTTGAGGTTTAATAAGGATTAACATCTGAATTGGGTTACATAGAGTGTTTAGTGTTAAAAAGATTAAATGTTTAAGAGGAGTTATAGTTATGGTTTAAGGGGTGTTTAGAATTATTCAGTTTATGGTAAGAGTTGAGTATTGGGGTGAGTCGGGTTTAGGAGTTGTGTGCTCGAGTGTCCTTTCACACAGACACTAGTGAGTGTACATGGAGCAGCACTGAGTTTCACATCATCTATAACTGTTTCTGCAATTTTTCAAGTATATGATGCTGACTGGGCTACAGAGGACACTGGTTAGGGCTAACTATCACCTCACTTGAGCTCCAAAAAGAGTATTCTAAGTGCTGAAAACAGGTGTCACCTAAAGGACAGGTGCCTGTATACTCTGCCTAATTAGAAATTCGACCATGCCTCTTGCAGCAACTGGAAAGCTCATCAGAAAGCCAAAATGTGTCCCCCACAGTCTAACAGTGTGCTTCAGATGTTAGCATGATGGCCTGATCCGCACTCTGTTTCACACTCAAAAAGTAAGTCTGTGTGCAGGAGTTAGTATCACACTATTCAGGAACTGCCCAAAATCATTACCTAAGATAATAAACCTAAACTGCGTAGTTGTCTCAATCCAGCAAAAAAACAAAACAAAGGTTTTACACAAAAGATGTAAATTGCGATTGAATGTTTAGCACCATGAAGCCACTGGCGGATCCAGAGCCTTATCTCGGGAGGGGCACTCATAGATTATTTAAAGAAACAATCCAGGCGCAATAAGCACTACAGCTCTCTGTAGTGGTTATGGTGCCAGGAGTGCCGTGGTGCCCTCCCAGAGTAAATAGTCAAACCGTTTAAGAACAGCTTGATAATTTACCTGTGGTCTGCCAGGATAGGGGCTGTAGTATGGGGATAGGGCCTTTTGGTAGGTAGGTAGGTGTGTGTGTGTGTGTGTGAGACAGTGTGTGTAGGAGAGGAAGTGTGTGTTTGTGTGAGTGGTGTAGTGTTTGCATGGGAGTGCAGTGTATATATGGGGTGCAGTGGGAACACTGTGTGTTTGGGGCCAGTGTGTGTATGAGGGTGTAGTGGGGGCAGTATGTGTATAGAAGTGCAGTGTGTGTACGGGAGTTTAGTGGTGTAGTGTGTGTATGAGGGGCGCAGTGTGTGTATGGGGGTACTGTGGGGGCAGTGTGTGTATGGGGGTGCAGTTTGGGCGTGTGTATGGGGAGAAGTGTGTGTATGGGGTACAGTTGGGCAGTGTGTGTATGGGGGTGCTTTTTGGTCAGTGTGTGTATGGGTGTACAGTGGGGGCAATGTGTGTATGGGGGTGCAATTTGAGCAGTGTGTGTATGGAGGAAAAGTGTGTGTATGGGGGTACAGTGGGGGCATTGTGTGTATGGGGGTGCAGTGGGGGTAGTGTGTGTATGGGTGTACAGTGGGGGCCGTGTGTGTATGAGGGTGCAGTTTGAGCAGTGTGTGTATGGAGGAGAAGTGTGTGTATGGGGGTATAGTGGGGGCATCGTGTGTTTGGGGGTGCAGTGGGGGCAGCGTGTGTGTAGTTGGGGGAGGGAGCTGATTAAAACAAATAAGTGTTTTATTTTTTTAAATAAAAAAAAATGCTTTATATCCCCCCTCCCTTCTTATCTTTGCCCAGGGAGGGGAGCATATAAAGAATATTTTTTTTAATTTTTAAAAATAAAACACTTATTTGAAATAGTTCTTATAAAAAGTATCCCCCTCCCTTCTTACATTTGCCCAGGGAGGGGGGATATCCATTCTGTGAAGCCCTGGTGGTCCTCGTGGATAATCCCTGGCGGTTCTAGTGGTGAGTGAACTCTAGCCTGCAGCTCCTGGGCTAGAGTTCACTCTCGCGAGAACAGAGCATTGCCATGGTAACGCGAGAGGAGACCCGGTGGAGCTGCAGGTCAGAGCTCCCGGGTTTCCTCTTCCTCCTCTCTCTTTGCCGGCCGCCGAGCAATGTGCCTGTGGACTGGTGGGGGAGATCTCTGAGCAGGGCTGGCACTTGGATAGCACCAGCCCTGCATGGGAGAGCAACGGATCTCGGGGGGGGGGGGCAATTGCCCCGTTGCTCCCCCCTGGATCCGCCACTGCATGAAGATAATAATCTCAAAGTATAGGAGTATTAATTGCATTAGGTCAGGCAAGGTTATCAACATTACTGAGTAGAGGACTAGTGATAGACAGGTTTAGGGTCTCTATAAAACTTTCACCAACAGATCTAATACATGCTGTGAAACAAGAGTCTTTTGAAACATTGCAAATCAAATTAGCTCCCCAGTTTACTTATTCTTTACATTAATTTTCTAATATGCTCCCCTATATAAGTAATAATATATGGGGTGTCACATGAGTTTATATTCTAATTGTCTGATTCAAATTCCTTTATTATGTTATAAAATTCCCAGTTTGATATGCAAATCAGCACAGACCGATCTCTGCTCATATGCATGTCAAGCTGGGAACTTTGGAATAGATGTAGAATGATGATTTATGAGTTTCTGTGCCCAAGACGAGAGACCCTTAAAGCCCAACCTGATATATGCAGGTGATACATAAAACAATGTTTAAAAAAAAGATAGATTTTTTTCAGACAGTGGTCTGGGTAATTGAAGCAAAATATATGCATCTTTTAATTTACATTGGCAGTGATTTGCATGGGAGTATTTGGGGCAATGTTTACAATTGATGGGTAACATCTTATAGTCAAAAGGAGATACAGAAGAGTGCTGGTATTTTGTACACTGCATGCCTTTTTTTATTTAAAGGAATAATCACACCTCATTGCAGTGGTTATAGTGTTTGTAGTCCCTTGGCACCATCATTTCATTCAGTGTTTAACTGTTCTTTAGTGGTTTAATCTGAAATGAGAATTCTTAACAGCTTATCCTGTTTTTGCTACTGGGTTGAAGAATGACCCTGAGAATTAATGACGGCTGTCCGGTTTCATCGTATGAGAGCTGCTCGTTTCTGTTATGTATTTGTATGGATCCGGATTAGTGTAATCACTGCCTTAGCCATTCCTAAAGTGGGGGTTGGGCTGTGGGCAGTAAGGGATTTAAAAAATGGTTTAAACTGAGTGGGGGAGGCGGAGAGGGGACAAAAACAAGGGGCTTGAGTAACTATAACTAATTTAATGAGATGAAACAGTTATAGTACCTTAAGTGTTATTTTAATTCTAAATTCGTCATGACCCATTTTACTGATAGGAAATCTCAAAGAGATACTTGGAAACAGTTATCTGTCCCAGTTAAGGTTCTTTTATGACTAAGTAAGCATATGGGGGGGGGGGAGGAGGTATCAAGGCAAAAGTAGGTGCTTTTGTCAGGTAAAGTCATAAGTAGCGATCTCCACGTAAACCAACAGACAGCTTCTCAACATTTAGCATCTTGACCCAGAATATGAATTGTTTTCAATTGATAAATATCTCCCATTAACTTTGTTACACCGCACTGACAAAAATAAAGAATGATAAAATATCTCCCATTGTATATGTACAACGGTTTTTATTGTCACTGCTATTAATTATTGATCTCATAACAAAGAAATGTAGCACCAACCAGTGATTTAGGAATGCTAATTAGACGTATGTATATATCCAACGCAGCTCCCCAATTAATTTGCACAATCCATGCGGAGATGTTTCCTGACTCCTCTGAAAACTTGAAATTACATTGTTGCTTTGGTGAAATCCATGCGGACTCCACGGTTACTTGGACTAAGGATTCCAAGCTACTTGCTCGAATACACAGAAGGTAAGTTTAATTTAACCTATATGTACTATGTCTTACGGTTTATGGAGGTTAAGCAAATTCAATTCATCATGGAATCCCTGCCTTAACTCTGCTGCTAGCAAACACAATCACCAGAAAGGTACTACTCCAGTGGGAAAGAACGTGTCATTATCATTTAATTTGGAAACATATTAAAGGTCCCTGAGTGTTAATAAAAGCTACAAAATGCAGCTAATAACTGCGAGTCAATCATTAGAGAGAATACATTATATTTATTCTATTTAAATGTAAAAACTGATGACTTGTTTGTCAAGAATAAATTAATGGCAGGAATAATGGTGGACCCATTGTGAAGGCTAAAAATTTCATTACGTGCTATAACTGATATAAGATATACACAGGTATATCTGGAATTATTTTCCATAGATAGAAATGGACAAACATAGATAGATAGATGGATAGATAGATAGATAGATAGATAGATAGATAGATAGATAGATAGATAGATAGAAAGATAGATAGATAGATAGATAGATAGATAGATAGATAGATAGATAGATAGATAGAAAGATAGATCATCTTGAAGTCCGGAAACATTTTCCTAATTGTTTTTGGGTTTCTTTTTAATTAAAATGGTAAAATAGTTAAGCTGTTTACAAATTATATTAAATGATACATCTTCATTTACCTGCCTTGGAGCTCTTTATGCTACTGTGCCTAGTGTTCTTCACATCTCATTATGCACCTTCTCTCTTTTCTTGGTTAATCAGTTTGCATCTTTTGCATCTCTTGTTAAATCTCTCTAACTTGTTTCATTATTAGTGCACGGCTCAGGAGAGAGGAGCTCTTTCAAGAGAGTAGAAAGGTTAATTAGATGTGTGCCATCTATGTCCCTAGCATATTGAGTTCCCAAGCAGGTAAGGAGAAATATGTTGAAAATATGAAAACATTCTAAATTTATTTGAAAACTACTATACTGTTTTCTTGTTTTGTTTTTGTTTATATGTATGTTGTCAATGTAAACATTGATTTTCTTGGTGAAGAGTTTTATTTTATATTTTAAATAGTATAAATGCTATTATGGAGCCGCATCTTTAACTTTAGATAACGATTTTCAGATTCTTGGGACCATAAGGAGCCATGAAGACCACCAACTCAATTGTATCTATGCCAACAAATAGAGGAAAAAAAACTCTTAAGTAGAACATTTATTTCCCAATTATGCACAGTTTGAATCCATGTGGTTAATTCTAGGTTTTAAATGTTAGTATGTATCCATCTAGTTCTTGGATAACTGGATTGAATTATTAGTTTCATTATCAAGCACCACTTTCAAAAAGTCTCTTTGTAAAATAAAGCAAATTAATGGTAAACCATAATTCAATGCACAGATTGTTTTCCAATGTGTAGAAAAACAAAATAAAAAAATTAATAAAAGACAGACATACTGCAATATACTTTTTAGCACATTGAGAAATACTGACCAGGATGAAAGTATGTTCTACTGTCCCTTACACCTTGTCTATCAATGTCTAGCAATCCCCCAAAAGGTTCTGAAAATATTTGGAAAACGAAAGTATAGTAGAGCGCATTGGTGGAATTCCTTTGCAATCTAATATTTTGTAGAGGGAAATTGATAGTGTTCCAAAGTTAGTATGTATAATAGTAATATACAGCAAAAGGCAAGACAAACTCGCCTACAGTCTTCAAAAGTAATAAAACTAAAACCTTAGGAACTTTTCTAGCAAGCCGAAATGCATTGCTAAAAGTGACTGAAGCAGTTACTATTGTTTCCCCCTTTTAAAATCTTCTTAAATGTATAACTCAGACATATCTTTAGAACTGGACTTCATAAAGTATACGGACAAACAATAAATAATTTTCTTGGAAACACCTTTAAACTAGTACTCTAGACAACCTACTACAGCTTATTGTAGTGGTTGGGATGCGATGGGTCTATGAGTTTGTCTCGTAGCTTTTTGTCAAACTATTTTGGTACAGATTGACCAAAACCAGGGTTCCCACAAATAACTACACTGGCTGTCTCTGCAGGTGCAGTGAAAATGGCTTTTTGTTTAAGTATAAATTCCCCCAACTGTGGTCGGTTATGATAGACTTGAAGAGCTGAGATAACCAGTTTTATCTTACTAAATAAGGTATTTTCTTTCTCAAACGAATCTACTGCCCATTTGAAATAAATTACCTGTAGTTTAGAATGTTTCCAGTGTTAATATTCCAGATAGGCTTTTTTATCGAAAGGTTCTACATTCTTGTATGTGATATTTTCTGTAAGAATTATCGTAACAAACCTGAACTTCATTACACATATATCTTACAGTAGAACCTTATGCAAGAAATCCAGACAGACAAATCCTTCAAAATGCACACTTTAACAGATACACCGGGATGCTCCTTTTAAACTCTGCTTTTTGAAGGATTTACATGTCCGAATTCTTTGCAAATGGTTCTAACACATATTTGAAGGCTCACCACCTACGAGTCCTGGAAGACCAATAAATAATCGCAGTTTTACAGTCGGGCAGTAATGCAGTCCCTAGCTTCCCCAGATTTGTTTACGTTAGAGATACGTGATTTCAAGTAGCCTTGTAAAATTTTAAACTGGAGTTTTGTGTGTGCTTCATAATACGAATTACCTGAAGATATGTGAGTTGTGCCTGGAAATCAAGCACAGCAACTAGAACAAGCACAAAATCAAGCAAGGACCCGGGGCATATCCACTAAATAGCAACACAATTAAAAATATTAAACACATAACATACAAAGTAAAAAGAAAAATATTTTACAATATTATAATAATGGGCATAAGCAACAGGGCACACACAAACACCACAATACAAAATATATACATAAAAATGAAATTAAAAAAATAGTTAGTAAATCTAGACAAGAAGAGGTCTTGGCGCTATTTAGTGCTTTGTCTTATGCAGCCAGTAAGGAGCATTGTGGGTCTATGTTTGTGGATTTAAGTCCAGTGTGTGAATATTACTCCAGCGTTTGGGGATAATTGATTATATTTGGAGACGATTATTTCGTTGCAACGAGTGACTGTTTCTGATCAGACCACCCTGCATGTTGTGAGAATGAAGCAAATGAAAACTTTGTGATCTAGCTTTAACAAACAAACAAACAAACGATGACACCTGCCATTGTTAAGCCAACATTTGTTTATAAAATGAATCCGTATAAATATGCTTTCATCACAATCCTAAATCCACTTTAAGAATACCTTGTGTTTCTATATTTAAAAAACAAAATAGTTTTTTTTTAAGTTTACAGCCTATTTAAACATAATATGCTTTGGTTAAAATGATTGGTGCCAGATGATTGATAGCAAACAGGATGCATATGTAACTGAAGAGGAGCTAACCAGCTGCTAGAACGGCTCACTGAGTGATCTCTTAACCATGGTGTCTTACACAGCAATGTCAGCAGCAGAAACACAGCTTAGTGCTGTTCTCCTGCTTTAGATACATACCAGCAATATTTATTTTATGCTTGTTGTATATTGTTCATCTATGACCATCTTAAAAGCTATTATTCCCACAGACCATACAACGTCTAATAATGGAAATGCATGCAAGAACGCACCATGCAGCTCCTAAGTAACTTGTATCAACTCTCTCAATGCTTTCTATGAAAAAAACTAGAGGTGACCCTAGGCCAGTGATGGCTAACCATGACACCATAAATTGTTTCTGGACTACATTTCCCATGATGCTCAGCTAGCTTTTAGTCCCATGATGCTCGGCTAGCTTTTAGGTAATAAAAGCTAGCTGAGCATCATGGGAAATGTAGTCCAGAAACAATTTATGGTGTCAAGGTAAGCCATCACTGCCCTAAGCTGTAATTTAAACGCTGCTTTTTCTCTAAAAAGACAGTGTTTACTGCAAAACGCCTGTAGGGACTGACTATACTCACAAGAATAACTACATTAAGCTGTAGTTGTTCTGGTGACTATAGTGTCCCTTTAGATCATAATAAGCATTAAACATAGAAACATAGAATGTGACGGAAGATAAGAACCATTCGGCCCATCCAGTCTGCCCAATTTTCTATATACTTTCATTTGTCCCTGGCCTTTTCTTATAGTTAGGATAGCCCATACCGCACATGCTTAAACTCCCTCGCTGTGTTAACCTCTACTACTTGAACTGGAAGGGTATTCCATGCATCCACTACCCTCTCAGTAAAGTAAAACCTTTGTCCCTCTAATTGAAGACTATGTCCTCTTGTTGTGGTAGTTTTTCTTCTTTTAAATACAGTCTCCTCCTTTACTGTGTTGATTCCCTTTATGTATTTAACTGTTTCTATCATATCCCCCGTGCCCCGTCTTTCCTCGGAAGCTATACATGTTAAGTTCCTTTAACCTTTCCTTGTAAGTTTTATCCTGCAATCCATGAACCAGTTTAGTAGCCCTTCTCTGAACTCTCTCTAAAGTATCAATATCCTTCTGGAGATACGTTCTCCAGTACTGCGTACAATATTCCACGTGAAGTCTCAGCAGTTTAGATACATAGAAACTACATTTCCTATGAAACATTAGAAAACAAAGGGGTTGCTGAAATAAAATCTAGAACCTTATATGATCATCAGGCACTATCCACAAGCCCTTAAGATTTAATTGAACAAAAATGTGTACTGAAAGTGTGCCCCAAATACAGTGGATCAACACAAAGCAATTGCCTATCAAAAATGAACAATACTTATTATTATTATTGCCATTTATATAGCGCCAACAGATTCCGTAGCGCTTTACAATATTATGAGAGGGGGGATTTAGCTATAAATAGGACAATTACAAGAAAACTTACAGGAACCTGGTTGAAGAGGACCTGCTCAAACGAGCTTACAGTCTATAGGAGGTGGGGTATAAGACACGTTAGTAAAACGTTTCCTTTTATGTAGACACTATAAAATACCCCAAATAATATATAATAGGTGAAAACAGCATACACTCTTGAATAAATGTGGCAATTAAATAGTGGCAATTCCACTATGTGTTGGAGTTATAGGAGATATACTTACCTCCTTCAAAATATATGTTATGGTTCATATATATTTTACATTGTACCTATATATAACGTGGGTTTCAGCACCGAAGCATTTGTTTATTTTTTTGGCTTTTGTTAGTGGAGTGCCAAGCTATCGTTATTTTCATATATATCAATATCTATATATAGTGATCATTGCCCAGCTTGTCTTGTCACTTTGTTTCCATTATGTTTTTCCACCTGTAGGAATCTTTTTGTAACAATGAATGTTCTATTTTGAATCCATTTCTGTTATATGGTTCTAGCAGCTTGCCTATGTCTGCCAATTTACAACTTTTAATATATCTCCTATTCTTTATTGCCAGTTTAGACACTACTACTCCCTTCATTCATATTTACTGGCTGTCTATGTGTTACCAGTGTAACTATGCATGCTAGTATTTTCACCTATTATTTATCATTTCAGTTTTTTTAAAATGGCTAAATAAAAGGAAAGGTTTAATGTTTATGTATACTTTACTCTTGATAGGTAATTTTGTTGTGGTGTTTCATTGTATTTGGGGCACACTTTCAATACACATTTTTGTTCAATTGCACGTCCTATAAACAAGCTTGACAAAGACCTCATAGCAGGTCGAAACGTTGCTACTCATTTTGTTCTTTTAAAACTGCCTGCAGCTTTAACACCTTGAGTGCCTGGATAATTTATTGTGCTGCTTTGTCGTTGTGGGATTGCTGGTCCTGCTCCGGAGCACCGGGTGGCTGCTGGGATTGAGTGTGGCTCCTATCGCCATTTTTGCAATATCTAAATGTCTACAGGACCAAAAGATGGGGTTATATTCCTTTAATGCAGACTTCATCATAATGTATGTTTTATTTTACATAGTGTTGTTTTGAGGTTAGGCTTATAGTAAAGTTTAGGGCTGCCTACAAATACAACTCCCATAATCTTGGGTAGACTCCAAGCATTATCCTGAGATTAGGGACACTCATACTGCACAGTGGAGCAAAAGCCTTGATATTTCATTGTCCCTTGATGAGGGCTTTTCCCACCTAACTCCATGTACCCAACCAATGACACGTTGTGCCAATTTTAACACCATTAGCCTACAGATACACATATTTGGGAAACAACTAACACTTTAAAGTGGCACTGTCATGCCGAACTTACCTTTCCCTAATCGCTTCCTTAGGACGCAATTCAGGACTTTTGTTCGGAATTTTATTTGAATGAATGAAACTCCGATCCTATTCGTGCCGCGAGTAGATAGCTCCCTAATGCTAAGGTTACTTTATAACTAAGGGTCACTTTATTAAATTAGTGGGGGGTATTTTTAAAACAGTGTTTAGTAGACGTCAGAGGTAGATTATTACTAATACTAAATAACCTTTGTATTAGGGAGCTATTTACTGGCGGCATGAATAGGATCGGAGTTTCATTTATTCAAATGAAATTCCGATCCAAATAAAAGTCCTGAATTGCGTCCTAACACGAACTGTTCTCGAAAGGTAACACAAATGGACAATTTCGATAGTTTCGCCAGCTTTTGAACGCCGAACGAAGCAGCAGGAGGACGGTGAGAATTGTGGGAAAATTGCTTTGACCACAGGAAATGGTGGGGACTTTGCTCCTCCTCTTGGTCAAAGTTGGTCAAGCGTAGGAAAAATACATAAGACAAAATAGTCCCTACTTTGTCTTGTGTTTTTAAGAAAACTAGAGCAGACAGGACAAAATGAAGAACAGATCCTTAGAGAGGGAGAGAAGAGGAAGCGATTGGGGAAAGGTAAGTTCGGCATGACAGTGCCGCTTTAAATAGGATAATATTTATTAGTCTTTACCACACTAAAAGATTGCAACAAAACCTGAAGGTAGCACTTCTACACCGCACAACTGAGGGACTGAGTAATCATGTAGTCTCCTAATTTGTGATAATTACCCTTTGGGGTGCTGCTAACTCTTTACTTAAACTACAACAAATTAGCAGTTAATCATGTTGTAAGATAGTACTTTTCACATCATGGAACATATATTTAAATTTTCATAAGTTTAATGTCCAAAACTAAAATTGCATGGTGTTAGGGGAAACCAATGCAGAGGAGGTAATGCTAAATGACTGTTTATTGAAAAGTGCAAAAGGGGAGAGTGAGGATGAGAACAGGGTTGTCGCCGCAGGAGGAGATAAGAACAACAACAAAATTAGAGAAGAAAGAAGTAAAAATAAAGTGTCCCCATTAGTGCCAAAAATAAAATGACTATTATAGCCAGACACACCATGCTCAGAGTTTCATATCATGAATATTGTCTATCTCTGGAGGACATCAAATCATCAATAATGAGAAATGTCTTCCTATATGTGTTATTTGTTATTTATTTACTGGATTATATAGTAAAAATATTGTAGGGTTGAAGAGGGATGCGTTTAGCAAGTTTTTCAAATATTAGTGCACAAACTTGCATTGATAGGGAATCGGATTTGGAGAATGTCCACCATTTCTAAAAATAAATGCAATATTTCGAACAATCGCCAATCTTGTTCAGCATATGAATGCATTTGAAACATGTTCCTCAAAGAGAGAGACACCATTCTTTTATAAGCCTGTTCGTTATGGTTTGCACAAATTGAAATAGTGTAAATTGTATCACAAATATCTTCCCAAGAAGTTTTATCAATAGTTTTCCAAATCTGCATTCCACTAAGCTATGCAAGCTCGGGAATGTTTGCTCAAGGTACTAACCATGGAATTATACAGGGTAGAATTTTGAACTTTTTGTATCAGATGACATAGCTACTCAAATTTGAGTAAGTGAGTGAGGTTTCATCAGATTGAAGTGGAATAGTGTGTTCCAGGTCCAATCACTTGTTTGTAGAATAATATCAGTGTAATGCTATATTTTATATATTATAGTGCTATATGTCATGTTTGTGTTTTGAATATTACAGATTTCGATATGGCAGGAAATGTGGTGAACCCAGTTGTTATGTTTATCATTAATGTTTACTGAATTACCATTACCAATTCTCCTTTGTCAATTAAAGGAAAACTATCATAAGTTTTATTATTTCTGAAAATGTGAGCTAACATGTAATATAACCTTCCTGTGTATTGTTTAGTAATGAAGACATATAATTCAATAACTATTCTAGTGCATCTTCTGGCTTACCCTTGCTCCAAGGGGCAGCCATATTTAGACCTGTTTGATCTGATGCCACATATCTTCTAATGTTATGCATATTTTGAATGTGTGAAACTGTTCCAGACTGCATTTTTGAGCTGCCAATTGCTTGGGCAGGATGTTAGAATTTGTAAATACACACTAGCTCTTAATTATCAATTAGCATGGGTATGGCTGGATAACGAGTGCTCCCAACTAAACATGACTTAAGATGGCCACCCCATTACGTAAAGGGTAATCCAAAAGACAGGTATTTATGTACGTATGATCACTACACTGTTATAAACAGCGTGAATAAAATACTACCTATATTAATAATCTTTTATTTCAAATAATGATAAAAATCGATGACAGTTTTTGTGTCAAATTGTAAAAACAATGTCATCAGTGCAGTTAAATAATAATTATAAATAATAGTAAAAATAATATATCATATAACCAGAAATATCCTCTCTCTTTCTAGTGCAAATGATGATTCGCCGGTATCTCTGGCAATTAGCCAAACCAGTCAAAGGGACCAGGGGTTGTATCAATGTAGTCTGAAAAACGTGTATGGAAAAGCAAGTGCTGAATTCAAGTTGACTTCTGAAGGTACTATTTTCTACTTGATCAACATGCTGTTTATTTTTAATGTCACTGTATGAACTCAAACACTGACTTTTTCTGTTTGCTCTTTTCTTAGTGTTGGAACAGCTGTCACGCTCTCAGGATATTGAAGGTAACTCATATTACTTACCATGGTGGGGTAACAATCTGACGATTTTCTCTGAAAGTATATATTAGGCCAACTTACTGTAAAATGTAGTCACATTTCAATTTAATTTCATATTGCCAAAATAAACATTTAGAAAAGCCACAAACAACGTTTTTGGGAGTGGCATATGACTTACAAATTTGGTAAATATTTTGGATTTTTTTATATTTTTCTAAGAGGCATTCAGAATTACTTGATGTAGAACTTTACTTGTTGTAGGACTACATGAGCCATACCATCTGCTGGGTAGAAAAATGAATACATAAGCATAGAGCATAACATAAGAAAATAATTCCTTTGTGCAAGGCTATCAAAGTACCAGCTCATAGTCTGTTTCTGAGTCTGACTTTGTGTTCTGCAGACACCCTTCCCAATGTGACCAGGATAGTTCTAGAATTTAGAGATATGTCTGAATCCATACTTCTCTACTCCCTGGATTGCAAATATTCTGGTCCAACTCAAGGATGTGATCAGTCTCTTTTTATTGTGTTTGAAGAGTATGTTTGGCTGAAGAGCAGTGTTTGTATCTGCCATATGTTCCAGACGTTCCTTAGTACTAAACGTTTGGCATTTGGCAGTCCTGGGACGTTGGGGATGAGGCTGATAGGTGCACACAGCACAAAAAAGCAACCTCCACAAAGACTTTGGCCTCATTACAAGTGCTGATTCCGAGAGGAGAGTGTAAATCACATGTGTGAATTTGTACGTGTGTATCTGTGTGTATGGGAGGGTTTGTGTGTGTATGTGGGAGTGTGTGTGTCTAGGAGCGTGTAACTTTATCTGTGAAACTGTTTTTCTGTATAAATCAACATGAGGTGGAGCGATAGGAAAGAAAAGAAAATAGAAAGGCGCTGCAGTCTTAAAATAGGAAAACCGTAACCTATTAAATATAGCATTTTATGTGTAACTTTATGCGTGGGAGTGTGTAGCTATATGTTTGAGTCGGAGAGAATGGATCTGCTATTCCCATGGGAAAAGATGAGTTGGTCAGGGCTCCCCAGGTAAGCTGACTGAAAGCACCTGCCTTAGTAAATGTAAGGAAGGAGCAGTGATATAATTAGTAGACCTTAAGGAAAACATGTGAGGAAGAAAAGACACCACAGGAGTAGATAAGGGGTGGAAAATCACCAGTAAGCCTTGGGAAACATTGACATTGACAATCATCTCCTGTAAAATCAACTTGTTCTGGAGACTCTGATAATTGTATGAGAAGTTGTCACGGTGCTGGGTTGGTCCAAGTCCCATACCCATAACCCTTAATAGAGAGCTAACCAAACATTAACTCCCAGCTCACGGCAATGAAATGTCTTGAAAGTATGTGAAGCTCCCTGTTGTTTTTGTGTTCAACAGGGAGGTGTTCAACAGGAATTTAATGTTACGGTATTGTAATTTTTTTTTTTTTTCATATATTCATTTTTAATTTGAATGACAAAAGACAGTAATAAAGCCAAGTTAGAAGTCATGGTACAAAGAAGCCATGACACAATTAGTTACATAATACAATATGTAATAAATCATTAAAAGTCAATATGTGTGATTGCAAAAGGCTGCTCTCGGTGCCAAGACAGTAGCATAAAAACAAAAAGAGAGTAAAACATGAGACCTGCTAATCTTAAATCATAAAAGCACGAGTACCAGGAATCCTGCCAGGCAGAGCTATATCCAGTACCAGGAGTCCTGCCGGCCAGAGCTATATACGGTACCAGGAAACCTGCCAGTCAGTTATGTCCAGTAGAATTGTGTGTGGCAAAAAAATTTGGTTTCAGCCAAACCACTTCGTCCGAAGATCAGAAAAAAATATTACTGTATGGGCAAATTTCGGACATATGACAGTCCGGCACGTCTAAATTTCGTTAACAAAAAAAAACTTATCAGATGAAAGAAAAGGGCACAGTAATGGACCAATCAGTAAACTACAAAATATGTACACAATATAGATATTATATTTCTATTTTGCACTTCACGGATAGCCAAATTTGACTCACAGAACTAGTGAGAAAAAAATGAACTAATAGATCGAAAAGAGGAGGAGCAGTAAAAAAATTTTAATTGATAATTATATATTTATTACATATATAATATATAAATATAGATTTGTCTACTTTTTTTCCTTCTATGGTCCCTTCTCACTTTATCTGATAATTAAACGAACATTTTGTGGCTCTCCCCAGCCTTCGATCATCTTTTTTTTCCAACAATCATCTCTTTTTATTGTGCCATGAGCGAAATTAAGAATCTTTAATCAAAACAAACAAGTATGTTTTTTGTAAGATTTGTTTGATTCATTGCAGCTACATTTTGACTCAGAGTTTGGGAAGTCGTACAATCATCCGATTGACCCAGGTTCATGTGAATTGCAGCTCATAACGAAATGAATTTCCAAGTCTAATGTCCAGTAGTAGGACCCAATCAGTTATACCCTGTACCAGGAAACCTGCCAATCAGTAGTGCCCAGTCCAATGTGGCGATAATAACAATTCTATGGCTTATAATCTATATTAGCCACTAATTGATAGAGATGTATTTTGAGGTGAATTCCCAGTAAAGCAATTGGATCCCTTTTAAGGAGAAATGGTTTTATATTAAGTAAAGGGCCTTCAGACCCTTGTGTCACATAGTCACAAGAGGACATAGTCTTAAATTAGAGGGACAAAGGTTTAAAAATAATATCAGGAAGTATTACTTTACTGAGAGGGTAGTGGATGCATGGAATAGCCTTCCAGCTGAAGTGGTAAAGGGTAACACAGTAAAGGAGTTTAAGCATGCATGGGATAGGCATAAGGCTATCCTAACTATAAGATAAAGCCAGGGACTAATAAAAGGATTTAGAAAATTGGGCAGACTAGATCGGCCAAATGGTTCTTATCTGCCGTCACATTCTATGTTTCTATTATTATTATTATTGCCATTTATATAGCGCTAACGGATTCCGTAGCGCTTTACAATATTTTGAGAGGGGGGGTGTAACAATAAATAGGACAATTACAAGAAAACTTACAGGAATAATAGGTTGAAGAGGACCCTGCTCAAACGAGCTTACAGACTATTGGAGGTGGGGTATTTGAAACATTAGGACAATAAATATCAAGTAGGAGTGAAGCAGAGCTGGAGGAGAGAGCAAAGCACTGTCCCATAGGAGAGAGCAGGAGACAGGTATGTAAGGTAGAGATTACTCTGGGAGGCCATAAGCTTTCCTGAAGAGATGGCTTTTAAGGCCCTTCTTAAATGATTGAAGACTAGGGGAGAGTCTGATGGCAGTAGGCAAGCTATTCCATAGGAGAGGAGCCGCCCGCGAGAGGTCCTGCAAGCGTGAGTTGGCAGTACGGGTGCGAGAAGCGGTCAGGAGGTGGTCACGGGCAGAGCGGAGGGTACGTGGAGGGGCATATTTATGGATCAGTAAAGAGATATAAGCGGGACTAGAACTGTTCAGTGCTTTAAATGTATGGGTTAGCACTTTGAATTGACTCCTATAGCATACAGGGAGCCAATGTAAGGACTGGCAGAGGGGTGAGGTGTGAGAGGACCGACTAGAGAGGAAAATCAGTCTAGCTGCAGCATTCATTACAGACTGTAGCGGGGCAATACGGCTTTTGGGAAGACCAATCAGGAGAGGGTTACAGTAATCCATGCGGGAAATAACTAGAGCATGGACAAGCTCCTTGGTAGCATCTTGCGTAAGAAAGGGGCGAATGCGGGCTATGTTTTTGAGTTGGAACGTTTCTGTCACCGTTTTTTTAACTAAAAAATAATAGATTTCTTGAATTAAACATTATCAACAAGCACCTCACTCATTACCTGACCACATGTTTTTTTGCGCCATCACAAGTGTAGTACACGACTTCATTCTGGCACATAATTTCTGCTCATGCGCAGGTAACTGCCCTAGGCACGCAGAAGGGGAAGAATCATTCTTACGGAATGGTCATGAAATGATCTTGCCATTTCAGGAAAGGAGGACCATGGACAGCCCTATCATAGTATTCTTCATTGATACTTTAAATAAATGAATGGAGTGGGAACAAATTCATCACTAATTTCATATTTCCCAAAACATGGTTGATTACATTATATATGCAAATTATCACAATCAGAAACCCAGCATGATTAAATAAAACCTTGCATTCAAAGTCATAGTTAGATTTGACATGATTAATCGTCACCGGCAATCAATCACAAATAATTAGATAACATTTTTAACTTCAAAAGAATGCACAATCAAAGTAATGTAAAGATTATTCTGAAAGAGTAGTAACTGCAAGATTGCAGAACAATTAGGTCCCTTCTTTATCAAAACAAATGTGGCATAACCCGGCATATATAGTTGACACAATACCTCCCTTTTCTTAGATAGCTTGGTTAGTTGTATTATTTCCCAATGCCCAAACAAGGATACATGTTGTACAGTGTTTGAAAGGAGGATGTTGGCCAGCTACATTGGATATGTCATTAACTTAACCTTCTTTCCTTAAGCCTTCTAAGAGAGAAGCCGTCCTTTCCAAATGGATTATTGTCTTTCATCTTTCCATCATGCATGGAGAAATGTATAATCTAATAATAGGTGATGCTTAGTACATTTATTTACTAGAGAACATGATGTGCTTTCCACTTTAAGGTTCTTTCTCTTTTTATTCCTGAAAATCACATGCGTATCATTGATACTAAATTTAACAACGGACCAACTGGACAGATAACATTGATTGTAAACCGCGTAGTCTATATTTCTGTATTTTTTATTTGTTTATTTATGTATGTATGTATTTTTTTAGTGTAAATTGAAATCATTTTGAACATTGACAGATATATATTGACACAGACATATAGATATATATTGACACAGATATATTGGATATATATTGACACAGACATATAAATATATATTGACACATATATATATAGAAGGGAACATTAGGGTCTTTTTACATTTTTTTTTATTTTATTGAAAACAAATAATGTGTTATTTGATTCAGTTCCATCGATCGTGTGTTGTTCAGTGTGTGTGTTGGCTATTTTCTGTAACAAACCAATATGTTGTGAATGCTTTCTACGCGATCCCAATCCAAATATGACTCAACTGGTAAGTTTGCCAAACATGTCAATAATTATTACAGAATAGATTGTAATTTACTCCCCAAATCTGGCTATCCTTAAAACAGTACCAGTGATAACATTTAACAGGGAAGCTTATTGGCAGGCGTAACTCCTGGCTACTGTCAAAACCCTCTATTCATCCTTGGCAGTTCATTAAAGTCAGATGCTAAAGTGGGAGACTATAGTTTTTGGGGTTTTCTTAGTTTTTTGTTTTTTATTATGTATATTATTACATCTATGATGTATATTATTACATCTGTTTCTGTTTCAACACTAGTCATTGTTTCCTTTAGTATATATAGGTACAGTGTAACTAGTTTTAAAAAGAATATGCTGGGGACAGGCCCTGGCCATCATGGTGGAGAGACGAGTCTCACATGGGCTCCCACACAATCCTAAACAAAATAGTTATCTACAGCCTTTACATGCCCTATCTGGACCAACAGCGACATCTAACTCACCCCTCACGACAGAGGGCATACAGCGTGTCGATCAACGGCTTGATAGGAGCCTACTTACCTGTTGCCAATCCTTGCGGCCTGGTGCGCCTTGGGGCGGGAGAAACGGACAATATCTTGTCTCAGAGGTGCCCAGCAACAGTCAAAGGCACAAGCATGCCCATTACCACCTCCCCCGGACCAGTGGGGGTTATCCTAGTCCCCCTGTGGGAGGCTATCCAGATGTTGTTGGATCGCACGGGGGAGCAGCACGAGCGGAGACACCAAAGATTGCAGATACCGCATGCATCAACGTTCCCAGCGAGATTCAACTCGATGTCCAGGTCAAACTGGACAAAATATTTGCGGAGTTCTGGCGCAAGCTGGAAAACAAATTGTACAAACCTGATCCACTAGAGTCGAGCAGCGGTTTCTAGTCGACGCACTGTTCAGGGAAACTTGGCTCCAGCAACTCAGAAACGCCCAATATGGTGGCAGAGAGCACAGAGCACATCCCTCCTGGTTAAGGTGACACAGAAACAGTTGTTGGGGCAGTCTGCAGCTCTAGACTGGGCATTGTCAAGAGAACCAAAGGTAGGTAAATTCTTGTTCTCGGTCTGTACTAGCCCTCACACTACTGGAAATGGAGACAGCAAGAGTACACTGCAAGAAGCTGAGCGGATGCAGTCTTATCAGGACAGACGGCGGGTGTCGGTGAAAAGACTATCCACATGGGGCGTAGTTGCCTGAGATCAGCTCACAGGGTCCTCGGAGCAACTCTATGGGCATACTAAATTCCCACTTATCTAGGCACAGGCTTCCAAGAGGTCTATATTGCCCAAACAGGACAACACCAGAGCGGGACTTTGCATGGCCCCTACTGGGTAGGTTGATTGGAAGAGAGACTCCCCCTGGCACAGTGCCCCATTTTGGCCTACCTTATTGACATCAGTTTGACACTTGCCTTACTTTAGGGGTGCATGTTTATTTTGCAGCAAAATCCCAACTCTCTTTTTTGTTGTTTCTTGTGGAGCACTAGCTTTCTGACCTCATAGGGGGCTCCATACGAGGATTTACTTCTTAGTTAAGCATTGATCCTCACTATGCAGTTTCCTGTTTACTTCTCATTCCCCCATTTTATGTCAGCCTCTCACTGACCCACACATACAAGCTTCTTGTGCTTGCCTGTCTTTCACATAAGATGTTGTATTTCTTGTTAGTTCTTCCTTTTCTTTTTATTATCATCTTTTCCTTCAAACTCTCTATGTCTAGACTAGCTACCGGTAATATGTCTACTAACATGATAGACATGTCAACCTTACCTCGCTGTGTTAAACCCTTAAAAAAATTAATGTCACAGTTAGTCATGCAGGTGTATGCTTTTCAATCTTGATGTGACATGAGTATATACTTAATGACTGTAAGCCTTGATGATCTTTTCCTGTGAAGTGAACCAAAAAAAAAGAATAATAAAAAAAAAAGAATATGATGTCTCTGTATATATCTCTAATAGATTCTAAAAAAAAATTTGACTTACATTCTATATTACTATTTTTTGTGTTGGAAGGTGAAGTCTTGCTAAGTAAGGCGTACAACACTTATTCCACAATCTAGCCAGTGGCAAATAAAAATATATGCAAATTTGTACCAGTATAGTTGATATCCGAGTTAATATTTTTTTTGAATGTATATATGCTGAACAATTCCCTTTAATCTTGTAAAATTGCAATCTCCTGACAGTCTGTCAGTAAGGAACATACATGCCATTAGTATAATTATGTGATCATCGGTGATTGCCCTGCAGGTGTCTGCAATGAATATCTGTGAATTATCATCACCGGGTACCAGCTAGAATTGATAACCATGTCTGACTTTCTCGAATTATATTTCTCAGTGTGATAAGCATTGCTAATCTTTTAGGTGGCGAGGAGATTGAATTCAATCAGCTTTTGTTCAAAGAAGACTTTATCACTGATATGTACTTTGGAGGCAACCTACATGGAAAAATAGTGACAGAGGATTTGCATTTTGGAGAAGGAGTTCACCGGAAGGCATTCAGGAGTAAAGTTATGTGCGGCCTGCTGCCTGTTTTTAACCCTGGTCACCTCTGTGTCCTTAAAGTCCACAATGCAATAGCATATGGCACCAAGACTAATGATGAACTTGTCCAACGAAATTACAAGCTTGCTGTACAGGTAAAATTTATTTTTAATACTAAAAGAATTGAATTTCAATCATAAAACTCCATATTGAAAAACATGTGTGTAGATATATTGTAACTACTTTTTAAAATAATCTTTTCTGAAAAGTCTAGCTATATTATAGCCACATACTCATTGTCATTTTATCAGAGCCTTAATGAGCCAGCAGTAAGGTAATCTTGGTCCAAATGAAATCTCCAGCATACCACTCTGAGCTTAGTGATGAAACATGATCATATTAAAAGTTTAACTTCATGGAACACTCTGGTCACCAATAGAATTTAAGTGCACCTGATATTCAAGCTGTCCTTTTCTTCACATTTAAATCTAAACAATAAAACAATTATAAAAACTGCAAATAGGCCAAAATAACTGACCTGCAAAAATGGCTGAAAAGCACATCTATTTTCAGTTCTGCTATTTTTAAATAAAATGTACAATTTTCTTGCAATTCTCAAAATTATTGGTTTAGGGAATAACCCTGAATGTTCCTAAATTTTCCATCTCCGTTTCTTTCTCGTACCATTCTTCTTCTAATATCTCCAGCGCAGTCGTTTTCATTCTTACTCCAGACCCTCCTTCTCTTCACATTTAGAGAACCTCTGGTAAAGAAGGGGGGCTTACACCAAAATACTCCCCTTCCCCTCTTTTATTATCTGACATTTGAGGTGAAAATAATACAGTGGATGAGTATCTGTCTCTTAACCCCTCAAATGGATGACTACACATAGACCTTTGTAGTAAATGTGAGCAGACATTTAAAAGTCTGTTCACGTGTAAAAGTCATCAATGGCCAATTAAAAGTCAGCAAGTTTGAGTTTCAAATGTCCTGGTTTTGCTTGAAGGGAGGACCTACCTAGTGGTTCTTTATTCCTCCACACATGTGCACATTGGGTGAGAGGTTAAGATATAATTAGGGGGATCAAATGGGATATTGGGATAGTAGTCGCAGAAGATTGGAATGTTGTGCCCATTCACAATAAAGGTAGTAGGGAGGAGTCAGGCTACTATAGGCCAGTAAGATTTACTTCAGTAGTGGGGAAGGTAATGGAAATCATGTCAAAGGATAGGATTGTTGAACATCTAAAAACACATGGATTTCAAGATCAGAGACAACATGGGTTTACTTCAGGGAGATTTCCTAAAATGCCATTGCTGTTTTGTTATTCATTGTATAAAATGCTGTGTTGTCTTTACAGGAATGCTATGTACAAAATACTGCTCGGGAATACGCAAAGATTTATGCAGCAGAAGCAGAACAGCTGGAGGAGTTTGGAAAAGTACCTGAGTAAGTGATACTGCTAAATGAATTACATCTGTGTGAGTGAGGATAGATGACTCATTCTGGTTGATTTCAAAGTAAGCTTCTTACAACACAATGTTTCTTTCCTGTGCTTGGTCATCCAATTCTCCATTAACGGCTGAACACAGCCTCCCTGTCATCAGTAGGGATCAAGGGGGACAAGAGAGATCTCTTCTGAACAAGGCAGAGCTTTCCCTTTTTCTATGGGCTAATTTCATAGAAATGGTGCTGTAGCACCTATCTGCCATCTTCGTTTTCATTTCATAGGTTTCCTGAAAGCAGTTAGTGAGAAAATGTATTAAGAAATGTCCAATTATGTATTTATCTTCCTAATGTGCAACTAGTGCAAGGGTTGTAATAATGTCTGCTCACATTTACTACAAAGGTCTATGGTCTAGGCCTCTGGTTCAATGGATTAACTCAGAACCATTACATTATTTATTCAAAAACATGCTTTACTAAATATTTTTTTTCTTTTATGGACTTTTTTTGTTCCAGAGCTGCTAAAGAGCCACATATAATATTTACTGTGCTCTTCCTGCTGCTGTGGAATTAACTTCACATACACACAGACACAGGCGCACACACACAGGCATACACAGATAAACAAAAAAGATAAGTACACACATCAGCTTCACAAAGCGTCACTCACCTACATACACATACAGACAAAGAAACACAGCCAGATACACATAGACACACACATACACAGACACACAGGCAGACAAACACACAGATAATATTACACGTACCCAGAAATACACTGGCTGCTGCTACAGCTACCTACAACCTGTCACATATGTACAGGTGATGCAGTAAGGATTAACACCCCTGCAATTCACAATGTCATGTAAATTTTACTGCATTTACAATATCTTCTTTTTATATCTCTGTCTATAAATATTGACTACAGTTGCCAACACATGCCCCATACATTATACATTTCACTTCTTAAATGTTCTTTTCTACACTGAACAGTATATCCTCTTCCCTCCAGCCTCCCAGTATTTCCTTGAGTCACCTTTAAATGTCTATGCATGGCAAAGCCCCCAGTGAGTTCTTTGCATTGACCTTGAGCGTACTGGTATTTAGTAATTATATCTCCTCAAGGCATCTCTCTCCCGAGTAAATAAATCCTACATGCTCCTATTAAATTGCACATACTTTATAAAGTAAAATAAACCGATCATACAATAGAAGCAGTGTTTTATTAATTGATTGATCCCTTTTTTTTTCTCCCCTGCCTTCAAATGCATGCTGATCAGCTGGTGTAGCTATAGAGGGGAGGTTTTCTTACGCCTGGAGCTCATGCTAGATTTTCTGTTCTTACACATCAGACGTTGAAAAGCTGGTTGAAACTCTGTCTGTCTCTGACTCGCCTGTGGGATACCCACCTGTCCTTGTCTATCAGCAGCAGGAGACTACTTTAAATTCTTCTAGGGCTGTGGAATAAATTTCTAACATTTCGATAGCCGAAAACAAAATCTGTTTGTTCAGAAGCAAGCACGCTTGTTCTGTCAAGGGAAATGAGTTGGTTTGCTAATATACAGATTCGCAATACTAAACTGGAATCGATTTAAATTTAAATGGACTTTAATTTATTTTACAAGTAAGTGGACACTCATATCTTACTTGATATTGAGCAACGTTTCGTACAGTGAAATCACATGCCCATAATTGTGACCATGCAGAGACAAGTTATCTATTAATAGATATAACGAGAGACAAGTGGCCCTCAGAAATGGATTGCAAACTTCTTAAAGCAAAATCAGCCTCGTCAAAGTAATCTGTTTGTGTTTAGTCCTCTTTGTCTCTCACTAGCTAGAAAAAAAATCAAGTCCTTCTCTGGGTACATTGATTTAAACTTTAGTATACCTTGTTCTAAACAAGTATTCCTCCACTTATCTATTTACATGGATGCTGTCCAGGAGGTGGGAGGGTCTGGGAGGGAGGGTCTGCTGGAGATTGGCCGGGATGTGTCAGCTGACCGGAGTTCACCGCGAACGGTTCGTGGCGAACCGCAACGAGCCGTTCGCGGGAAGTTCGCAAACGGTTCGCGACATTGCTAGTTACAACCTTTTGTAATCAAATTGCTATTGTTCTTTCTTGTCTTGATTTAAGGAAGAAAAGTAACGTAAAACAATGCATAATGTTATGTTGCATTAGACAATAAAATCCAGCTCTTTAAATAGTTGCACTCACGATAAATTTGGATATAATAGTGAATATATATATATATATATATAAATAAATCAAGATATGAAAATATTGAAATGCTGAAATATTTTTCAAAATACTAAATCATTTGAAAAGCCTATCCTTTGTTATTAACATATATTGCTCAATGAATGTGCTTGAAGGAGTACATTTTAAGCACAGAGCCCACGCCTGTAATAAGGAGTTTAGACAATACATTGATTGATGAGTTTACACTGTTTCCAGTTAGCAGTAAATGATAAATCATACAGGACAACTAACAGGTGGGAACAAAGAGGTACATCCAGGGCCATTTATTTTTAAATTCTTAGTAAGTTCCAAAAGTTCAGCAGAACAGAGCTGTCAAACACATGGAGGAGGCAGCTGATATGGCTTCAATAAAGAAGTTGTGTACTGAATTAACACATATGTTTAGAGAAAGTAATTATCAATAAGAATCATAGGGCTTTCAGTACAGACAAAGTTCCAGGTGTGTGTAATCATTCAAGAGGTTAGTAGCAGGAAACAGGGCAGCAGCCAAAAATACTACAAGATAAAAGCATATTTCTGTAGAAGGGGATTTCTATAAAAAGGCACCTTCTGATTGTAAACTGTGCAACCATTACTCTCTCTGGTCTGACCTGGTATGATATTTAAATCGTTTCATGGTTTACCTTTGTATAACTCCATAATCCATAATCCATAATCACTGCAGGGCTTTTAGAGTGTCTGTTTAGCTATTCAATTATTTATAAAAAAAAAAAACAACATAATGGAACACAAGAAGGAACAGAGATATTTGTAACACCGGTCTAAAACAAAGTAGAGCATGGAAGGATTCATAGAGAATCCCAGACTTATTTCCCACAGCAGGGGTTTTTAAACCTTAGTCAGAATCCCAAAATGGATTCCTATGTCATTTTAGTGGTTCCTTCTGATTGGAAAATAACTCAGAAGTAAAAATACTTTTTACACGCAAATGACATGGAAAACGTATATAGAGTTTGTTTCCATGCCTTACACAATCATTCAAAGACAAGTCGGATATTATTAAAATGGCTGTCACTGCTGTTAATGATTACTGACAGTTTCCATGCAACAAACCGGAACGTTTAATGACTTTTAGTTTGTGAGTGATGTGAATTTTAACGTCTCCCACAGAGACAGGAGTTGCTGAAAACTTACGCCTTTATGACACTGCATGTTGTCTGGATGGACAAAATTCTGTAAAAATGACCAAATTCGGACCGCAGTGGCAATTCTCGTAATTACTAAAATACGGTCTGTACAAATCTGTTGCAATAGCATGAATGCATTTCATGTCCAGATTAAAATCAGTGCCATCCCTCATTATTTATTTTAAAGTCTCCTGTCTGATGACCACAGGAAAAGGGGACTATGCAAAAAACAAAACAAAAAAAAACTACCACCTGTTGCTATCTGACTTAAAGTTAGGCAAGCTTCATTTGGTTGTAAAGAGGGGAAAAAACAAGTTAGTGACTGAAATCTCTCAAAATGTCCTTTACTAAAACAACAATATTCTAGAAGTACCTTTAAACACCAAAGCCTACCTATAAACATGTATGCACCTGTGATATTTTGCAAACCATGTAAACCTGGAAGTAAAATGTAATCAATATTTGAGGTGAAATGACTCATTCAAAGAAGCCATAAACAGGCAATTTACAGTAATTGGCCAAGATATTACTGGTTTAAGAGCAAATTAGGCTAACTCTCTGATAAGTTCTTGGCAATTACTAGACTTGTGCATTAATGCTTTTCAGCTTTTCACATTAAGTGCACCCACACTTATTATATATCATTTTGTTCAGGAGAAACGAGTTTTCATCTCACATCAAATATTTATATGAAACATAATTTAATATGAGTAAAATGAGTAAAAAAAAATAATAAGAAATGTTTTTTTTTTCCAAGTTCTGCATGGCATTTTAACTGTGAATTTCAAAATAATGTTATGCATATGTATATTTATATTTTATTCTAAGTGTATATGTTTATATATATATATATATATATATACACACACTTAGAATGAAATTGGCTTGGATTGGCTACAGTGAGACTGCCAGGGTTGTCAGGCAGGTCCCCTGATCAGGATCGGAGCGGATGGTAAGTGTTTGGGCTGGATGGAGGACCCTCAAAGCCCTCCTAACTTTCAGATGGGGTTAATCTACACTCAAACAAATTGATTCAATTAATCAGATTCCACAGGTAAATCCTGGACAGATTGATTTGGTCAGGCGTAGATTAAAAGGAATTTTCTTAGGTCATACCAGCTGAAGATAACAATCTGCACAAGTCTAACAATGACCTGTTTAATAATTAATCTGATTAGATTAGAAACCAGCCTACATTTTGTGAGTATTCAAAAGTTCTAAAATACTGCCACCAGAAGGCTGAATTTCACATGGAACCAGTTTGAACATACAGATATATTTCCCTTTTAACTTGATTTAAATTTTACTCCACAGGATAATTCCTATATTTCTCATTCATCGACCAGCAAACAATATCCCGTATGCAACAGTTGAAGAAGAGCTTATAGGAGATTTTGTGAAATATTCTGTTAGGGACGGGAAGGAAATCAATGTCTTGAGAAGAGATTCCGAAGCCGGGCAGAAATGTTGTACTTTCCAGCATTGGGTATATGAGAAGACAAATGGCAACTTGCTGGTCACTGATATGCAAGGTAATTGTTAATGCAATGGCGTATACATCCTATGTTTTTAAAGTATTTGATAGTCCAGGCATAGGCAACCTTTTGGCACTCCAGATGTTTTGGACTACACCTCCCATGATGCTTTGCCAGCATTACCGGTGTAAGAGCATTATGGGGGATGTTGTCCAAAACATCTGGAGTGCCGAAGGTTGCCTATCCCTGTCAGTCTATTAAGTCATAGTGTTGCACATTCTCAAATAATCATATCACTGATCAGCCATAATAGAGAGTTTATTAAGAGACACACTTCTGGTCGGAGTTAATCTATTTTTTTTTTTTACTTGCTTAGATGGATAATGCATATTAAACATAAGCAAAATAAAATGTAAATTAAAAATAATTTTAAAAAAGATACTAGCATTTGAAATTCATACTTCCATAACTGAAAAGCCACATGCGTCTATCAAGTTCATCCTTACTCACATCTGTTTTTCCTGTTGATCCAAAAGAAAGCAAAAAAAAGGTTGAAATGCTTCCAATTTTGCAACAAACTAGGAAAAATTGCTTTCTTGACCCCAGAACGGCAGTCAGATATTTACTTGGATCTAGAAGTCTTAGATCTTTGAGTTCAGCTCATGAAAAATGGGGGTAAAAACAAAAGTGTTGCGTTTATAATTTTGTTCAGTGTAGCTGGTAATAATTAGCAACCCCTAAAATAGATAGCTAGAAGAAAATCTTTCTGTAGGATAGTAAAGAAACTGCAACCAATTTCATTGTCAGTAGATGGCACTATGGCTTTCCCAAAATAACATCTGGTATATCAAACTGCAAAGCAATAAGCTCTGCTCAGACAACGCTCTCTATGCATACAGACTGAAAATGTCTTATTTGTTGACAGACACCTGTATCCCATCATAAATCAACCTGGTGTAAAACCCAGCTCTTTCCTGTAGAATTGACCAGGTATTGAGGTCCCTTTATTTGGTCAAACGATTGCTTCTTCCATTGTAGTTTTTTGTTCCTCCAGTGTTTTGTGCTTCACTCTTCTAGTTCATAAATTGTTTGGATTTCCCATTATGGATACTTGGACAGATTAGGAGTCCACTTGCATGGGGCCTGACTCTGCTGACTTCTTAACCCTGTATCCTAGCAGTTGGATACCCCAAAATATCCCGTCTTAGGTGCCCATCCCCTGGGATAGAAAGGCTGCTTTATGCAAATACCCATGTCTCTGTCTACTATTTCCATGCCCCGAGTGGTTGCACCTCTTTTTGGGCCCTCTCCACACACAGCTAAAATAGAATTTATATACTGCCATCACACAGCGAGACTCGCTGGCACCAGACCTATCACGGTACCATCTGCCTGCTATTAGCTTTCACTAGCAGCATTCATTTAATAAATTAGAAAGTCTTTATGTGTGGTGCCAACTAGAATCATTATCAGCCTATCCACATCTATTTATCTGTTAGATAAATGTTTGTGACCCTAAGTGTCCGTTTCACTCCCATTGATTCATAAAGACAGATGATCTTTCCATTTGTCTCATCAACTAACATTCTGGTACCTGATGTGTCACCCTTTTGGAGTTTTTTGTTTCTGTAGCAGATTAACCCTGTCATTCTATAAAAGGTTATATATTTTTAAACCAGTAGCGTTAAAGGATTTTGATAAAGCAGAAACCTGTTCTAGATTCTGGCCATGTGCTATTTGACTTTCACTGTGCGGTTGGGCTTTGCAAGAGCTAAACATTCTTATTTTTTTATTATTTATTCTGCAGGTGTTGGAATGAAGTTAACAGATGTTGGCATAGCAACAATAGCCAAAGGGTAAGAAACCGTGTAATATATTTCTTATCTTCTTTTTCATCTTTGGAAGTGGAGCAATAGGCTCCTCATAGCTCTGCAATCCATACAGTTAAGGGCATAAAATGGTAAATAGATAGATATATATATATTTTTAATATTGCTGTCCTCAATGAGATATTGCTATCACTCTGTGAAGAGGCAGAACCTTAAAAATAATAATCAGAACTATACATGTGTAAAAGTGGACACATTAAAGGAACACTCCGGTGTTATAAATAAATACATTGTTGATTACGTTGAAGTGTTGTAAAGTGCATTTAAATTAATGGACATCCTATGCTGTAAAATAAATAGGTTACTTACATTTAATCTAGAGGTGAGAATCTGACCTCATTGCACCATTGCTCTATTCCTGGGAGATCATCATACTGTACAATCATACTGAAACAGGAATGAGTCAAACTATTGCTACAAAGTTGGAAGCATCCAGTTGCCTAAAATGTTGTTGTTTCCTACTTGATGACGATTATCCTTCGCTTGAAGGATTGAACAGGTGAGGTGGAAACCCCTGAACTCAATAATGAATAAGGCCATATAGTCTATCTCGACTCAGCAATGGATGTTAGAACAAGCCACAGTGTTTTTAATTGAAAATAATATATAAAACTCTGTATACATAGGATTGTTTTGTTTGTTTACAATAAAGTTTATTTCATGGTTTTAATATGTATATATGCACTTGTGTTTTTCTCCAAATCAGATACAAGGGGTTCAAAGGAAACTGCTCTGGATCTTTTATTGATCAATTTAAAGCCTTGCATCTGTGCAACAAGTATTGTGAAATCCTGGGTTTATGCTCTCTAAAATTGAGCCAAAAACAAAAGAAGCCAGCTCAGGTCAAAGAGAAATCGCAGCCAAACCCACCCAGCTCCAAAAAATCTAAGCATGGTACAAAGGCAAAAACCAAGATGTAGCGTTCAGCTCAACCGTTAAGTTGATAGAGGGACAGTTTCTACTCCTTGAGACTTTGCATTTCTTGCATAATCCGCATCTACAATCTGATCCTTGATATCTGTGCACTTCCCGAGTTACCGTCAATTATATTTGTGGTACATGTAGCATTATGTTAAGTAATAATTACTGTTAAGCTCTGAGAAAAGAATAAAATAGTATTCGTAGGCGGCATGGTACTTGTAATAAACATAACTAACAGAGGTTAACAAGGAATGTGTGTCCATCAGGTTAATCCAGTTGACTATACCATTTTTTTATTGCTGGTCAAAGTCAGAAAAACTATTTATTTTTTAATTCAAAGTATGTCAATGAGATTTCTCCTTGGATCAACATTCAACCTGTATTGACATTTTAACTGGAGAAATAACTGCTGTGCCTAAAAAATCCACAAGCGTTTTCCTAAATATATCAACTTTATATGACAACACAGTCTTTTAAGGCTGTGCAACGCATGCTAAATACTGTACACGAACTGTAAAGAGGCATTTCTACGGCGGAAGCAAAATTGCTTTATTCAAACGTCACAAGCCTTCTATAGAAGAGACAAATATTGTGTTAAGTTAATGTTTAACTGATATGACAAAAAAAAAAATCATCTTTTAAATTGTATTATTGTTGATACTTCTAGCTAATGTAGCCGTGTTTAATTCTTTTCAATCTCTTGGTATATCCAACAATTTATTACTTCAAAAAGTAGCTAATGAGATAACACTAACAGGGTTATTTACTAAAGTGAGAATTCAGGGTAGAGATCAAGTGAATTTCAAATTAAAGTCCAGAGTAGCCAAACTGAAAACATAGCTGAGTTAGAAAATGTTCATCTTCAGTTTGGATTCTTGCTGGTAATTAACTATGTAAATTAAAAAGTTGATGTAGGGAAGCAGCCCCTTCAGTAATGTCCTCAAATCCAATTGATTACAGGGTGATATGAAATGATAAGAAAAGAATAAAAACTAAATCTAATGCAGTATTTTCATTGCTGGTGATATTAGTTGAAAAGAAAGAAATACACTTACAGTGTTCTTACAATTACAATTGTACAGTTGCAAGTTTATTTCTTTATTTTCATCTAATATCACATGCATTGAAAATACTGCATTCGATTTCATTTCATTGTCTTCTTATCATTTCATATCACCCTATACTCAATTGGATTTGAGGACATTACTGAAGGCGCTGCTTCTCTACATCACCTTTTCACATTTATCTACAGCCAGAAGGAAGAGACTCTGGTTTGGGAAGTTCTTGCCACTTGTGATTGTTAAGGGTGTTTCTATTGTATTAAGTTCTAGCAGCCATTGCAAAAGCGCTAGAAATCCAATTTCTTCTATCCATTTAACCCTGTAAATTACCCTGTCTCTGTATTACAAATAAACTACAGATCTCCCTGTGTAACACCATATAGGAGATGATACTGTTTCTAATGAAGAAATCCTTAGATTTCATTAAAGGATCACAAGAGGGTCAGGAACACAGACATGTATTGAATGTAGTGAAATGTAGTGAAAACCCACCATTTAGGTGGCTTGCCCCCACCCCATCCCCTTAGCCCCCTCAGAATGGGTTAAAACATACCTTATTTTCAGCTCTCCACGGGTCTGGCTGTGCTGACCCTGCCTCCTTGATGACATCATCAAAATTGCAGATTTGGGGAAAGCATTGAGGAAAGCATTGGATTGGCTAAAATCTGCAAGGGGACGGGGCCAAACGCCATTTTGGCCAATCAGCACCTCGTCATAGATATGCATTGAATCAATGCATCTCTATGAAGAAAATTCAGCGTCCCCATGCAAAGTGTGGGGACGCTGAATGGCAGGACTGCTTACTGTGCAGACCTGAACCAGGAAGCACCTCCAGTGGCCATCTGAGGAGAGGCCACTTGGAGGTGTCTATGAAAAGGCAGTGTTTACATGAAAATGCCTGAAGGGAGCTATTATACTCACCAGAACAACTACATTAAGCTGTAGTTGTTCTGGTGACTATAGTGTCTCTTTAAAATTCCATGCAGTTGTTATAGAGCAGTGTTTCTTAAACCCTGCATTAAGACTGAAAAACTGGGCCCTAACATCATTTTAGGCATAGACACATCACACAGCTTCCCACCATAGATATATATTTGATGGTATTTATACACTAGAACAAGTCACTGAGCTTAATTCTCAAAAAAAAAATCACAAATCTAATTTTAAACGAAGACTGATTTGCCAAGCTATTGCCACAAAGGGGAATTGATGTTTTTATTAACTGTATCACCATTTTAATATCTAAAAACAATAACTGATTTAGACAAGCTGGAAATGAGTTCATACTGTAGGTTTATGTAAATGATCTCTGTATAATATTGTACTAAGAATCCTTTTGTATTCATTGATTATTTTTTTTCTGGTGTATCCTGTATGCATTGGTTTTGCTCGTCTAATAAATATCTGTAACATAGTAACATAATGGGAAATATTTTCCATATTATATGAGTTCTATTGAGACTTTAATTTGTTAAGATCCTGAGGGGACCATATCCTCTCCCCTGAGTTTGGTACTTACAAGGATGATATGTTAGATCTGCTATTACATGTTAGATATATTAGATAATTTGTGTGTGTTGTTGTAGAATTTGTTTAAACACTGGATATTCACATTGTCATGTATTTATTTATTTAATATTTATTATACAATGTTCTTATTTTACCAAAAGTGGTTGTTTCAAAATGCCAGAAAACCTTCCCAATGAACTGGGATTCTGAACATGTGGTATTCCATTATTATTTAAACCTGGTTATATTCGCTTATGTATTGGAGACATAGCTGCCAATACTATTTGCACCTAAAGCAATACAAAAAGCAATATTTATTATAATAATGTTGTTTTCATGCTATTTTGTTGGATTAAAAACGATATAAAGTAAATAAATAGATTCTATCATTAGTCCCGCACATTTAAATAAATGTTAAATTGGTTTAATCTATATTGTGCTAATTAAAAGGATACTATAGGCATCAAAACAACAAGGCAGTTTTGATGTAAAGATCATGCCCCTGCCATTTTACTGCTCAATTCTCTATCATTTAGGACTTAAATCACTTTTGTTTCTGTGTGTATGCACTTACACAGTTAAAGATGGTTTAACCCCTTAAAACCAGACGGCATACTATTCCACCCTATTCTAAGAGGCTCTAAACGCCGCCGGGCGTAATAGTACGCCCTCCGGTTTTTCTTACTTTCTTATCCCACGCCGGCGATCGCGGTTGGGGAAACTCACCTGGGATCCCAGGGAGTCCCCCGCAGCGGATCCTGCCTCCTCTGGCCCGGCCATGTGAGAGTGAGGTCACATGGCCGGGTTAGCTGGCTGCTGCATTGCCAGCAGGGGGAGTGCCTGTAATGACAGTCCCCTTGCTGGCTAGAAATGAAATAAAATAGTTAAAATCAGTGTAAAAAAAAAAATTATATACTTAGATCATATATATATATATATATATATATATATATATATATATATATATACAAAAAATGAATGGGCAAGGCACTCCTCCTAAAAATTCTTCTGGTCTGGAATCAACTGCCTAGGTGCAATCCCGCGTTCCAATATATATAAATCAATAAAGGGAGCACACCAGGACTTCAATATAGTGCAAAAAGTATTTACTGTATCCAAAACATGATACAAATTCTGTGCAAAGAGAATCAACGTTTCGACCCTGCTGGGGTCTTTATCAAGATCTTGATAAAGACCCCAGCAGGGTCGAAACGTTGATTCTCTTTGCACAGAATTTGTATCATGTTTTGGATACAGTAAATACTTTTTGCACTATATTGAAGTCCTGGTGTGCTCCCTTTATTGATTTATATATATATATATATATATAAAATAATATATATATGATCTAAGTATATAAGTACACATATACATACACACACACATACACTGTCTAGGTATATTTTACTATTAATATATATATATTAGCAAATTACACGTAGAATGATACTGATTAAATATATATATAATTATTGTTATATATATATATTTATATATAATAAAAAATATGTAAATACGTTATAAAATTAAAACAATAATTAAAAATAAATAATTAAAAATGTATAGATGTGTGTTATTTCGTTCTAACTGTATTGTGATATTTATATATATATATATCAAAATACACGTAGAATGAAATAATATATATCTATATACATAAATATATACGTATATATAAAATGATATATATACATATATATACACATGTGTATATATATACATATATTAATTCTACATATATATTTATGTAATATTTTTACATAATTAGGTATTTTAATCAATTACAATTAGCGGGACCTGCCTGACAACCCATCCCGAAAGTATAGGGAATTTAATTTGCTAGCACTATATTTAACCCTATAACTTTCCAGTGTTTGTCACTAAGTGGCTACTAAAAAAGACTGGGCATACCCCATTTGCAGTACCTTGGGTTGTCTACTATTGCAAATGGTATGTCATCATAGGGGTGATTTTCATTCTTGGGCTACTATAGGGTCTCAAAGGCAACGTAACCAATCTGGCGAATTTTAATTTCAAATGTAACGTGCTATATTTGACCCTGTAACTTCCCAAAACACTATAATACCTGTACATAGGGGGTACTGTTTTACACGTGAGGCTTTGCTGAATACAAATATGTGTATTTTATTGCAGCAAAAGCAAACAGTATTATGCCATTGACAGTTAAAATGTCATGTAGAACTAAAAAAATAACATTTCTTATTTTCTTTTTTTTCATATTAAATTATGTTTCATAGCTAAATATTTGATATTAAATGAAAGCCCCGTTGCCCCTGAATAAAATGATATATAATAAGGGTGTGTGCATTTAATATGAAAGAGGTGAATTACGGTTGGACAGACATGTAGCACAAATGCCAGGTTTTGTTTACGTTTTGTTTTGTTCACAACGTGTACATTTGGCTCAGTCCTTAAGGGGTTAATTTACAATCAGATGTTAACTTGCTTTATAAGTTTGTATCTCCTGCTCTATAAATTGAATTTTAATCACACACGGGAGACTCCTGCAGGGTCTAGGCTCTATTAACAGAGCAGGAGATTGGAAATTCTAGATTAAACAGACTGTGCAATAAAGGAGCCTAAATATGTGATTGGGGATATATAAATAATGTGATTCAACTCCTAAATGGCAGATAATTGAGAAGTAAGAATACAAGAGCATGATCTACACCAACATTGTTTTTTAAATCAAAAGTTAAGTCCCTTCAGTTATTTGCAAATGTAAAGGTTTAGGGGATACATCACGATTGGGTCCTCCTTGCTTTGTCATAGGGAATTGATGGAGCATCTGCAAGTGAAGCTACTCCATGCCTAAACGATACACATAGCATGCCAAAATTCCTAGCATGTTAGAAGAACAATAGGGGCATCTGGACAACTTAAGAAAATGGTCTGACTACCATGCCCCCTTTCTTTTATCAATGCAGTGTAAAATATTGTTGTTCTGCAGGAATAACAATATTTAAATTGCAGGTTTTAAATTCCTCTGGTGGCTGTCACTCTGATAGTCACTAGAGGCATTTCCAATGATATATCTGAGTAAAATTCAATTCTCTATTTCAATCAGATGGTCTCATAGAGATGTCTTGCCACATTTGTGCACTGACCTCCCAATGGTTTGCTATGGGAAAGCATTGTATTAGCTGAGATCATTAACACTGATGATCTCAGCCATAGAGGCGGGGTCAGCTGCAGAGAGCAGTCACAGTGTGGGAGAAAATGTGAGTAAATTTTAATGTTGCTCTTTATGGGTGTTGATGGTCTCGGTGACTAAGACATTATACACATTAGTATTCCTAACTCTATAGTGTTCGTTTACAGGTGTGGGTAAGTGTTTGTGTTGTTTACTTCTATTTTTTTTTTCTATCAGTTTGTTTAGTACAATTTATAGATAAATCATATCTGTCTGAAGAGATACATACATACATACATACATACGTAGTATTCAGAGTAGTGTTTTATGACTCAGTAACTTTGTTTATTAATGATTCAATGTCAATGATATTGCATACAATGAATACTTAACGTATGGAGATTTGTTTGGCTATGTACGGAAGATGACATCTTTTAAATTACATCCATTTGCCACCTTGCAAAGTTGGGCTCTTTCGATTGCATTGTTCATAATTGTTAGTTAATATTTGAGGCTCTAGCACTCGAATTTCCGTACGGATATTCTCCTTGAGCTGCTCAAGTGTACGCGGTTTGTTCACATACATCCACTCCTTCAGGTATCCCCACGGGAAATAATCCAGAGCTGAAAGGTTGGTCAAACAGGGCAGCCAGTTGATCTGGGAATTTCTTGAATTAACCACAGTTATCTCAAGATCCATTGTGGCTTTGGCTGCATGGGCAGTTGCCCCATCCTGTTGAAATATTATCACTTTTAGGATCATTTTTCAATACCAGATGTAAAAATCTTTCAAACATATCACGCTATATAATTTATTTATTTTTTAATTTATTTTTACTGGTTCCTTCATGAAATTACCCATGATGAATCTCGTTATATAATGCAGCTGCAACAAAAAATTAACTAGTAACAAAGCTATTTACCTGTCAAATCCTACTCTGAATTTTGTTTTTTTTGTGTCTGCCTGTCTGTCTGTCTCTCTCTCTCTATATATATAATACAAATCCATGATATTAGATTTGAAATCAAAGCTTTTATAGGGAAGAAGCGTACCACGATTTTGTGCACTCAACGAGTCAAATGATTTAACAACAATTGATTTTAGAAAACAACCAAAATATATAATTCAAGAGAAGCGCATTTAGCTGGATTTATGCTCCAGAGGTAAGTACTTTTTATTTACATAATCCTAAATGGCATCAGTGTTTCGGTCCACGCAGGGACTTTTACTAATGAAAGGAGGAGGAGAGGACTAAATTGTTCACACAATTATGTAAATAAAAATGACTTGCCTCTAAAACATACATTGCTTTAGAGTGATCCCCTTTTGGATTATATCTCTATATATAGTCTTATGCAATGTATGATTATATACTGTAACTAAACCCCCATTATTTTAGCTTAGGTTAAAAAAACAAAACTATTACATTCTATGAGCTTTGAATTTGCTGTATAGTGAATGAGTGAGTGCACTGGATCTTGTATGTTATTTATCTGCAACACTAATTTACTAGACATTATTTAGTAATTACCTCTGGAATAGACACAAAAGTGTCCAGAAATGCCAATCACCATGCAAAATTCCCTATAAAATAAGCAACCCAAATAAAGTCACGTACCACTATCATGTTGTTACATTATTAAGACAGTAGATATTGCCTTTTATGTTTTACAAGTTGACTTTACAATGCCTTATGTTATTTTTAACTTAGAAGCAACTATGACATATTTTTGTTTGCTGGTTGTGGCTAATGTATTAAGTTGTACACATATTTATCCTGAACTGCGAATGAAGGACACAAGAAACACATTTAGACTGACAGTGTGCAGCCAATAACAGATGGCATGCATTTATCATTGTATTGGTAAAAAAAAAAAATGAAAACGAGACACACCCATTTCCCGTTCTTGAGAAAACATTAACATGGCATGTTGTGTTTTACATCTGTTATAAATAATAATAAAATAAAAACGGCTTGGCACTTTATATTGAGTTCTGGAGATGTTTACTTATTTACTATTTATTTCTGGTAGCTGAGAAATGTATTTTCGTGTAAGAGTAAAAGATAGTTTGGTCATTGTTTGCCTGTAAGCTAGCCTATTTTTTTCTGTTTCCTTTAATAAATATATCTGAAACTGACAAGTATACTACATGTTTGAAAAGTTTACAAGTCATCTTTGTGATATATATCTTATGAATTAAAACTTTTTTGATCCCTGCCTTGTGTATTCTGTATATTTGTATGTGCATGTGTGATAAAAGGAGGTTAATTTTCATTTTCTCAATATTATTATGTTTTAAATGGCTCATAAATGGGCTGTTTTTTTTTTTTTATCTATTGATAGTTGTTGTTTTTTTTTTGGAATTTTATAATAATAGTGTTTTTTTTATTATGTATTAATGAGCAAAAATAGAAAGGTACTTAAAACTTAACATGATTTATATGAATTCAACACACAAGACAGAAGAAGGAAATATATAATCAAAGAGTTTTAGAAATAAATTCTCCTTGTCTTATTTATCATCAAAAACTAAAAAATAAAAACGTAAAGTTACAAGTTGGACTATTTCACATTTACACAACTTGATGTATTTTAAAGGACATCTATATGGCTTGTGATTTGCTTTCCGGTCACTTACCAGTAATTGTTGTGAAGCAAAATGGGCGTGCTCTTTCTGCTTCTGTGGTAGAATAAATTTATGGACAGCAATTATCAATACCACCCATGTAGAGTTGTGTGTGGATTTAGTATTAAAATTTGCCTCTGGAATACCTACAAAAAACTGAGTCCATCATTTATAACCCTCTATTTCAACAACAACTTTATTGTTTCTATGTCATATTTCCAGGGCCGTCTTTAATATTGATTGGACTACATATAGACTACATACAGATACACAGATACACACAATGAGAACATACAGAAACAAACTAACACACATACAGATACACAGACAGATACAAACAATGATACACAGATACACACACTGAAACATGCAGATACACATATACACACTGACCGCATATAGATACACACAATGAGAACATACAGATACACACTGACACACATGCCGATACAAAGATACACACACTGACTAAATATAGATACACTGATACACGCAATGAGAACATACAGAAACAAACTAACACACATGCAGATACAGACAAACAGATACAAACAATGACACACAGATACACACACTGACACATGCTAATACACAGATCCACACTGACTGCATATAGATACACACATACATACAATGAGAACATACAATGCATACAGATACACACACGCAGATACAAAGATACATACACTGACTACATATAGATACACACAAACAGACACACAAATACACGACCTGACACAGGGGCTGGCTGGGCCGGGGGGCAGGGAGGCAATTGCCCCCCAGGCCGCCCTAAATTCCTGTAAGGCCGGCCACGGTGGGCCGGCCCTTTAAATACTGCAGCCGCCTGAGCGCTCTGTTAAGAGCCTCAGGCGGCTGCAGGCCTCCCCTCCCCTTTCAGGAATGAAGCTGACCGGTCCCGCGGTGGCCGGCCACGGCCGGAGGATAGAGGGCACTGAGTGCACTTCCTGTCAGTCAGGCCGTAACAGGAAACAGAAACTCCTGTTCCGCACAGGAGTTTCTGTTTCCTGTTACCGAACCGACTGACAGGAAGTGCACACTCAGTGTGCACCTTCCTATCACTCCGGCCGGCCACCTCGGACCGAGCAGCTCGCCAACCACAGGGGAGGGGGCAAGAAGAGGGAGGAGGGGAAAAAAAGGGGCAATAAAAGAGGGGAGGAGGAATAAGAAGAGGGGAAGAAGGGAATAAAAAGAGGGAGGGGGATAAAAAGGGGAACAAGAAGAGGAGGAGGAAAAAAGGGGAATAAAAAGAGAGGGGGAACAAGAAGAGGAGGGGAATAAGAAGAGGAGGGGGGAACAAGAAGAGGGAGGGGGGAACAAGAAGAAAAGAAAAGAGGGGAGTAAGAAGAAGAAGGGTGAGCAAGAAAAAGATGGAGTAAGAAGAAGAAGAGGGAGTAAGAAAAAGATGGAGAAGAAGAAGAAGAAGAGGGAGTAAGAAAAAGAGGAGAAGAAGAGGGGAGTAAGAAGAAGGGGGAGTAAGAAGAAGAAGTGGGAATAAGAAAAATAGGGAATAAGAAGAAGAAGGGGGGAGTAAGAAGAAGAAGGGGGAATAAGAAAAGAAGGGGGAGTAAGAAGGAGGGGAGATAAGAAAAAGAGGGGGTAAGAAGAAGAAGGGGGAGTAAGAAAAAGGGGGGAAGAGGAAGAAGAGGGGAGTAAGAAGAAGAGTGGGGTAAGAAGAAGAAGAGGGGAGTAAGAAGAAGAAGAAGGGTGAGTATGAAGAAATGGGGGGAGTAAGAAGAAGAAGGGGGAGGAAGAGGAAGAAGAAGAAGGGGGGGTAAGAAGAAGAAGGGGGAGCAATAAGAAGAAGGGGGTTAAGAAGAACAGGTGGGGGAGTAAGACGACCAAGGGGGGAAGTAAGAAGAACACAGGGAGGAGGGGGGTAAGACGAACACAGGGGGGGTGAGGAGAACACATAGAGGGAGGAGTGAGAAGAGCACAGGGAGGGTGGGTGAGTGTGAGAAGAGACCGCTAGGGGAGGGTGGGGGAGAGGAGAGACCACTAAGGTGCAGGGGAGAGCTCTACGGGACAGAAGGGGCAGCTCTATAGGACAGGGGCCAAGACAGGGAGCTCTTTCACACTACGCGCGCACACACACACACACACACACACAATGCATCCCTATACATACACAGAAACACAACATGCTTCCCTTACACACAGAGAAACACACAATGCATCCATTACACACACACACACAATGCAACCCTTACACACAAAGACAATGCATCCTTTGCACACATACACAGAAACAGACAATGCAAACCCGTACACACATATGCAAACACACACACTTCTTTTCTTACATACACACAGAAACACAATGCATCTCTTACACTCAATGCACACACATACAGACACACACCTTGCATCCCTTATGCATGCAAACACAGATTCACACAATGCATCCCTTACACACAACCAGAAACATATAATACATCCCTTATACACAAATACACACTGCTTCCACTACACACAAACACACTACATCACCTGCACAAACTGGTAACCCTATACACTACATACCATAAGCACACATATTAGATCCTCTACAATAACACATAACACATCCCTACACACTCCACTCCCTGTGAGCGAACTCATGGGTGGGTGGAACTTATGAGTGGGCCTTATGGGCATACTCACCGTCAGGCCCTGGGGCCCAGACCTTGAGCTGTGTAAGGGGCCCCAAAAAATGGAGCTGCTTCCAATTCTCCCAGAACATTGAATTTTGTGACCACAGCTGCAAACAGCCTCCAGAGATCCTGTTCTACACCAGACCAGTGGAGCCAAACTGCAGCCCATCATCCTCATCTGCTTGTAAGTAGGCAATCTAGTATATTATTAGTGACACTAATCTATAATGTACCTCACATTAAAGGGACACTATAGCTTAATGAAGTGGTTCTGGTGTCTATAGCTGGTCCCTGCAGGCTTTTTAATGTAAACACACACTGTGTGCAGCACTGGCGTTAGTTCATATGGGTGGGGCATTGTGATGTCACATGGGGGGGCAGCAAATTTTTATTTTGTCTAGGGCGGCAAAAATCCTTGCACCGGCACTGATCCTGGGCAGGTGCACCAGTCTACTGGTGACCCACAGGAGGGGAGTGCACTGATTGCACTGCACTCTCCTCCTGTCCAGCCCCATCTTTACCGCAGTGCAAATGCCCTCTGCCCCTAATTTACAGTGGCTCACACTCACAACAAGCAGTGCCTGGAGCCGTGAAGGAGCGGGTATGGCAAAGAGCTACTGATTAGCATAACATCAATATCCGTTATAAAACCAGGAAAAGGTGGGCATGGATGGTGAACTGATTTGGTGGTGCAATGGGCCACTTGACTGGTTTTGCCCCCCAGGCCTAAGGCTGCCAGCCCTCCCCTGACCTGACACACATGCAAATACCCACTGACCGCATATAGATACACACACACACAATGAGAACATACAGATACACACAGTGTACATATAGATACACTGACACACATAGACACACAAACAGATACACAACCTGATACACAGATACAACCAATGACTTCATATAGATACACCAACACACACTGACACACATGTAGATACACAGATACAAACACTGACACACTACACACACTGGCTATATACAGATACAGACACATATATACACACTGACACAAACACACGGACAACATACAGATACACATACTGACACAGAGACACACACAGACAGCCATACTGAAATACACAGACATACTGAACCACACAGACACTGATAGACTCACACACACACAGACACACTGACACACAGACAGACAGACATACTGAAACACACATATATACAGATAGACATATTGGCACATACACACAGACAGACATACTGGCACACACACACAGTGACATACTGACACACAGACAGACATTCTGGCACACATACACACAGACAGACAGACATACTGAAACACACAGACATACACACATACATACATATTGACACACACATATAGCCAGACATGCTGACACATATACATACATACTGACACACACACACTCAAACACTCATGCAAAATGTGATAACTATATTCAGTTTCTTACTTTTTCCTGGAGGCTGGCTTCCCTGGGGTCCAGTGGGCTGGCTGGGGTGGATGGGAGTTTCTTATTTTTTCCTGGAGGCTGGCTTCCCTGGGGTCCAGTGGGCTGGCTGGGGTGGATGGGAGTTAAGCTCTCGCTCTCTCCGGGCCTGGCCCCCTCTGGAACAGCTGGTCCTCCTTCCTCAATAAATAACAATTTATTTTGCGGGCAGAGGGCAAACGGGCCAGCTGCCTTGTGCCTCCCCAGCAGTGACAGGGCCCGGGGCAGCTGCCCCTTTTGCCCCGCGTTAAAGAGGGCCCTACATATCATGAAACGCAGAGAGTTGAGTCTTCTGCAGAATTTTGCAACTATATCTTCTAGAAACAGTTAAAGTTTACAAAATCCCTACACTCCAACCTAAATGTAACTGCAATACTTGTTAAACTTGAATTGAGCAGTGTTGTCCTTGTTTAAACTGTTCCAGGACATATCGGGTAACAGTAGAACGCCTCGTGTATTCATTGTATAAACATTTAATAACAAATAAAAATGCTGCCTTTTTACTATTTATTTTTGGAAAAAAAGAAAACTACAGCTGGTATCTATTTTAGCCATAATCACAAAGCATTCTGTACAGCTTGCATTTTATGAATTGCATACTTATCATTGAAAAAATGCTCAGTCATGCCGAGTGTCTAAACCATCTGTGCTTTCTGTAAGAACAGATATAACAAAAAAATTTATGTAATCACACTAGAAAAAAAAAGCACAATGTTACAGGGCCCACAGATCACTATCTATTGTTTTGACTAGTTACCCATGTTCTAATATCAGAATAGAGATTAGCAGAATATTTCCTTAGGGTTAGGATTAGTGGTGGGGTTAGGGTTAGATTTAGGGGTAAGAGTAGAGTAGTATTAGAGTTAGTGTTAAGGCCAGTTTTAGCTGTAATGTTAGAGTTAGGTGAAAGGAAAACGATAGTGTCAGGAATACAAAAGTGTATTCCTGAC